GCGCGCCAGCCACAGCGAAATTGAGCAGCGTTGCAGTTGAGTCGAAAGGAAGCCCCTTCCCTTTGATCCCTTCCCCGCCGGGGGGGGGGGGTCCCGGGAGGGAGGTCCCGGGGAGGGGTCCCGCGGGGCCCCGGGCCCGGGGCGGGGGGGCGCACCCGGGGGGGCCCATGGGGGAGGGGTTCCGGGGGGGTCCCCAGGCAGATATACGACTCCCCCTCGGGCGGTTGAGCGGCCAAGAAAAGTCGCAGGACGCGGCAAAGCTTCCCCAAGATGCCCCCAAGACGGTCCTCGAGGGCCCCGAATCGCCGAAGTATCGGTCCAAGTCGCCAAAGTAGCCTCCAGACGGCTCAACAGGTTTCCAAAACGCCCCAAGAGGCCTCCAAGAGAACTTCCAAGAGGGTCCCAGGGGGCAGCAGTCATAGATGTCCCGTAAATGTTTGAAATATTTCGGCATTCTGGCCTTGTCAGCTTCCCGACGCTCCAAGACAGGCCAAGAAGCCCCCAAGACCGCCCCGAGATGCCCCAAGAGGCCTCAAAGAGAACCCCAAGACAAGACAGCCGAAGAGGCCCCCAAGACGGCTCCAAGGAGGAGCCCAGACGGGGGACCCGAACGGACAGTTCGAGCCCTCGGCTTGAGAAGCTCTCAGGAAGCCCACAGAGGTCCCTAAGAAGCCCCCCAAGAAGCCCTAAGAAGCCCCCAAGAGACCCCAAGGAAGCCCCAAGATGCCCCCACGAGGCTTCCAAGCGGCCCCCAGGAGCTTCCCAAGAGGCCCCCAAACTACCCCCAAGAGGCCCCCGAGAGCGCTCGTCTTCGTCGTCGTCGTCGCCATTCAGGGTCGGCGGCACCGGCCGTGAGGCCTTCGCAAAGTTGGAAATTTGGGAAGTGGATGGGAAGCCGAACATCCAGAAAACATGAACAAGAATGGGAATCCTGGGATTGGTCTATACTTATGTAGCCCTGGGCCCCTTCAGTGATGGTGGTGCCGCGCTTGCTTGTCCCAACGGGCGACCCGCGGCCCGCGCTACTCATCTCTGAGCATCGCTTAACTGATCATCTAAACGCGGGCTTGTCTCGGGCCAGTTCGGCGTTGGTTTCTGACACCGCGGGCATTGCCCAACCCTGAACGATCGGCCGCTTCCGAAACGTCAGCTCGCTCAGCACCGTCCAATTCTGGGCCGGCGGCGGCGTCGAACGTTGAACGCCGGCGGCGGGGTCGCCGCTGGCCGACACGACGCGAACCTGCCGTGTCACACCGGGATGGCCATGGGCCCCCCAAAACGGCCCCCAGGAGGCCAGAGATGGCGTCGGCAGGACCAGAAACCAAAAGGGCACCACCCCACCTGCGGCTCCACGGGGCTCAGCGTGTGCCAGGAGGTGTGGCGTGGGCATTTTTGCGTGGTATACGCCACGGCCCCCGACGGGGCGCAGCTCGGCGGCGCGCGCGGGGGGGAAGTGAGAAAAGGCAGGCCGTCTCAGAAGGCGGTGGGACTTCTCAGAGGCCCTCGCGCCTTCTGATAGGTCTTCTCTGTTTTCGGGGAAGGCTTAGAGACAACTTCTCGGAAGGCTGGGGCACTTCCGAACCTTCTGAAAAGGCCTTCTCCTCCTCACTTCCCCCCCTTGCTCGCCGCCGAGTGGCGCAGCATGGGGATCGTAGGTGGGGTCCCAGACATGCGACGCCCTGATTTTTTCAATACGGGGTCCCTGGAAGTCCCGACCCTTTCACCGGGACCGGTTTCTCGTCCCGAGTCCTTTGTTGACGCTCCCGAGGCTCGGCGAGGGCTCCCCGAGGCTGAAAATGGCCAAAAACCTCCCGTCCTGATTTTTGTTGCGACTCGATCATGTCTGGGGTGGTGTCGTTTGTTTTGTTGGTCTGGCGCCTCGATCTCAACCGGCGGCGCGGGCGCGGCCTCGCCCTGTCCGGACACCCGACGATGTGCTGCTCTGGATCTCCGCGGCCCCGGGGCTCCTTCGACCCCTTCCCGTAGGGGTAACTTCCCCCGTCCCGGAGCGGTGCTTGTTGGTCCTGGGGCGCGACACGAAGATGATGGGCCTGTTTTCCATTACCACCACCACCACCAGAAGTTGGAGAGGGGAAGGAGGTGGATGATGATGATGATGATGATGATGATGATGATGATGATGATGATGATGATGATGATGATGATGATGATGATGATGATGATGATGATGATGATGATGATGATGATGATGACGAGGAGGAGGAGGAGGAGGAGGAGCAGGAGGAGGAGGAGGGAGGAAGAGGAGGACCTCCTCCCCCTCCTACTCATGGTGGTGGCGGTGGAAAACAAGCCCACCAGATGAGGGCATTGGATACAGAACCATTGGACGAGGGACCCAGGGTCGGAAAGTCCGTGGAACTCCACCCGTGGCTTGGCCATGGATACCACTGCCGTCCTCAGCAGACAGGGATCCTCCAGGGCCTGGAGGCTCCTGGGCACATTGTTTCACGAACGCCCCCACCGCAACGGGCCCCAGAGACCGACACCGAGGAAAAGCACAACTGGATTGAAAAAACACGCACCATCGGAGATCATCCTCCGACCCCCTCCCCTGCGACGTTACAGGAGGAATTCGTTTGGCGGGTCGGGAAGGGCCGCTTTCCCGGCCACAACGGCGGCTCTTGAACCGCTGCTTCGGCCGTCGGTTACGGCGCCCCTCGACGACGGCAGCGGCGGCCGCGACGGCGACAGCGGCGGCGAGGAGAGAGCAGGAGAGGGAGCGAGGAGGATGAGGAAGAGGATGAGGATGAGGAGGAGCAGAAGGAGGAGGAGGAGGAGCAGAAGGAGAAGGAGAAGGAGGAGGAGGAGGATGAGAACGAGGAGGAGGAGGAGGAGGAGGAGGAGGAGGAGGAGGAGGAGGTAAGGGCAGAGAGGTGGGCGGAAGGAGAAGGAAGGGACGGGTGCGGGAGGCAGAGGTAGGAACGTAAGAGGAGGGGAAAGGGCGGAGGGAAGAGGAAGAGGAGGCCAAGCTTGGTGCGCTCGCGCCATATCTGACATCCTACCCCTCCCAGCGTTATGATTTCTCCACCCGAGGACGCGCGTCATAGCGGACCTGGAACTCCAACGAAGATCCGAACGTGTTATTCGCAATCGGAAAAATAGGGAGCTGCGTCAATTGGAGGAGGTGGCGGATGGAGAGGAGGACAAGCAGGAGGAAAAGGCTAGGGATGAGGAAGGAGTAGCGAGGACAAACAGCAGCAGCAGCAGCAGGAGCAGCAGGAGCTGGAGGCCCAGGGGAAAGCAGAGGAGAGGAAATAATGGGGGCGGCAACGATGATAAGAGACTCGGATCCGGAAACGTGGCCCGCGCTGGGGCGAGAGGGCCATTCCGAATGATGGGAGCAAAACAACGATCCGAAAAAAGGCGCACGCTACAGCGGGAGTACCCTTTAGAAACACCGGAAGCAATCGGATGGTACAAAACCTTAGAAGCTACCCTGGCGAAAGACTCGGCCATACGAGGGCGCGAATACCGCAGTGCAGGTCGGACGAGGGAGACGCAGGTCCCGACTGGGGCCACGAAGCGCGTGAGGGGTCGGCCGAAATGGGCGCGGGCGCGCCATGCGGACGCTGCCATGCGGTGGGGCCCTCGGTGGAGCTCCCCGGGGCCACGAAGCGTGCCGAGGGGCGCGCCGGCGTGGGTACAGAGGGTGTGCCGAAACCGGCGCGGGGCCGCCTTGCGGGCCCTGTCGCTGGGGCCTTCGCTGGAGCTCCCTTGGGGCCACGAAACGTGTGATGGGTCTGTACCAGAATGGGCCCGGGCCGCCATGCGGACTGTGCTGCTGGGGTCTTCGGTGGAGCTCCCCATGTCCAGTCCAGTCCAAAAGCCATGCGCCTTCCGGCGCGTCGGCAAGAGAAGACGCGAACACTTTGGTTCACCTTTGCGGGCTCGCGGCCGCCTCGGGAAGATAGCGGAAGAAAGAGAAGAGGAGAGGGGAGAAAGCACATTCGAATGGCCATGAGGGGTGCGAGGGGTGTGCCGAAAGTGGCGTTCTGGGCGTGAGGGGTGTGCCAAAAGGTGTGTGCGGCCGTCCTGTGGACCCTGCAGTCGGGGCCTTCGGCGGAGGGGCCACAGAGCGCGTGAGGGGTGTGCGGAGACGGGTGCGAAGCCGCCATGCGGACCCTGCCGATGGGGTTTTCGGGGGAGTTCCCTGTTGTGCCGCGAAGCGGGTGGTCTGTGTGTGTGTGTGCGTACTTTCTGTGTGTGTGTGCGTGCGTGCGTGCGTGTGTGTGTGTGTGAATGTGTATGTGTGTATGTGTGTTTGCGTTGTGTGTGTGTGTTCGTGTGTGTATGTGTGGTGCGTGTGTGTTGTGTGTGTGCGTTGTGTGTGCGTTGTGTGTTGTGTGCGTTGTGTGTGTGCGTTGTGTGTTGGCGCTGTGTGTGTGTGCGTTGTGTGTGTGTGCGTTGTGTGTGCGCGTGTGTGTGTTTGTGTGTGTGCGCGTGTGTGTGTGTATGTTTGTGCGTACGTGTGTATGTGTTTTGTTTGATGTGTGCCCTACGTATATATATATATATTGTGTATATATATAGTCATGCATGCACGCATGCACACATATACATCGGAGGTTGGGAGGTGAGATCGCAGTGACAGTGAAACGGAGACTCCCCACAAGGAAATCGGTTTCGGTTTCGTGTTCGTGTCGCGCGTGCGGGCGAGGCGAAGCTGCGCGTGATCCTCGTGTAGCTAGGCCGAAGTAGGAGCGAAAACTCCGTTTCCCGTCCGCTGGTGGCCAGGAGGTGTCCCAATTGGGCCGCTCGGTGTCCCGGGTGTCCTGGGTGTCTGTAGGATACCCGTCCGTTTCCCGTCCGCCGGTGGCCGGGAGGTGTCCCAGTTGGGCCGGGCGGGAGGGGCCCTGCTGCGGCCCGCGAGATGCCCTCTGCGGACGCGCGCGCGAATCCGCCCGCAGGGGCCAGCTGCGCATGCCACGCGGCGTTCCGCCGCCGCCGCGCCGCGCCTGGGACACGGCATCCCGAGGCGGCCAGGCGCAAGGCAGGGCGCGCAACAGCCTCATGGTCCTGCCAGGAGCCTGGACCGCCGCTGGCCGCCTTGCCGACCGCCGCCACGGCAGCTAGGAGGCGCCGCGGAGGAGGAGGAGGCGGGAGAGGAGCAGGAGGAGGCGGAGGAGGAGGAAAAGGAGGAGGAGGAGGAGGAGGAGGAGGAGGAGGAGGAGGAGGAGAGGGAGAAAGAGGAGGGGGAGGAGGGGGGCCACAACGCGGCCCACATGCAGCAAGCCAAGCGGGGCATCCCCACCGTCGCTGTGAGGCCCTCGTGGGGCCTCGGCTCCGGAAAAAATGCGCCACCCCGACCCGGGACCTGGCCTCCGACTCCAGCGAGGCGCCCTGACACTCGGCCCCTCCTCTTATTCCTTGTCGGAACCAGTGGCAGTGAAGTCCAAATTGGTGCATGCACACTTTTCCGTCGGCGGCGAGGCAGAGTTGGCTGCATCAGCGCTCGAGCTCAACGGGGGGCACCGGGAAACGCACTGGCCAGCGTGTAAACGACGTGGAGAGGACAGACGAGGCGGCCGCGGAGGAGGGGGGAAGAGAAGGCCACTCAGAGGTGGAAGAGTTCTCACCCGAATGTGCCGGCGCCGCCGGCCCCGTCAGCGGGATCCATGGCAGCTGGGGTGCATGCGCACACTGAGCGAGGGATCCATGGCAGCTGGGGTGCATGCGCACACTGCATGCGCACACTGGGGTGCATGCCCCTTGACAAGAACCGCATGAGCTTTACAAGCCCAGTTAGGGTGTGCACTCGCTGGGCGCTCGTATCGTGCATCTGTTCCCCGCCGACCATTGAATCTGTCCACATAACCCCTCCCTCCCCAGAGAAGGATGACGTCGTGCTGCTGGGGACTGCTGGGTCGGCAACACTCCCTGGCGCGTGAGCGCCGAAGGCCATGCGAAAACAGTGCCTCCAAGGAGCGCCTGCAGCAGTCTGCTGCCGTTTTCAACGCTGCTCGCCACGTCTGTCGAGACAGCAGCCGCCGTTGTTACGAGACAGACATTAAATTGCTGCCTGCTCACATATTCTCCCGTACCCTCCCATGCTCACCAAAATCATCCCTCTCATGATTACGTTGGACCGGCCAACGCGCCACCTGCCCTTCACGTGTTCTGCTTCCGGCCACCCGGACCACCTCCAGCCCTTCACTGCTGAAAGCGATGTGTGGCCTCTTGCTCCTCCACCTCCTCCTCCGCCTCCACTTCCACCTCCTCCCTCTCCTCCTTCCTCCTCTCCTCCTTATCATCAGCATCATCATCAACATCATCAACATCATCATCACCATCATCATTGTCGTCATCAACATCATCATCACCACCACCACCATCACCATCACCGTCACCATCACCGTCACCATCATCAGAATCATCATCACCACCATCAGCAGCAGCATTGCCATCGTCATCGGCATCGGCATCGTCATTGGCAGCAGACGTGGCTCACCACGTTGGCGCCAGAGCTCCTGACACCATGGCCTGCACGTTGCTTTGCCACGCACACGCTCTACACGTCCTCTTGGCCCACAAGCGGCTTCCCCGTGCCGAGACGGCCCAAAAGTACGCGCGGCATCGGTTTTCACAACGCTGGGGTCTGGCTTCCGCGTCATGCCGCACAGGCAGCCACCGGAGCTGGTCCGGGCTGGCCTCAACACTTCCGCACCCAAGCCCTGGGGCGCGCCCCCCATCAGTGATTCCCCCCCCCTCTCGCATTCCTCCCTTGCCACCAGACCTCCGACGTTGGGTTTGCTTGCGTTTCGGTACGAGGGTCCTCGAGGCTCTCGATCTGCTCAAGAAGCTGTGAAGGTCAGGGCCACCCCGCCCCGCCGCCCTGCGCGGGCCACGACCTCGCCTCCGAGGGAGTATGCTTCCTCGTCCCTGGTGGGCCCGACAACTGCGCCCGGAATCCGGGCTCGGCACCCAGGATGCCGAACCCGGAGGAACACGGCCGCGCTGAAAAAGACAGATCCTTGGGACGCCTGTGCGACGGGAGACGCTTGGAGGGGACCTGGCTCCTGGGGAGGCACCTCGATCTGGAATCGGCGACACACCGCCGCGAGATCGGCGATGTGCCCCCGCTTGCAAAAATCCGACCGCTCCTGGGCGGGGTGGGCTACCAGGCGTCCCTCGGCGATCCATGGCCGATTCGGGGTCGATGTACCCCTCCAGAGCGCATCCCCCCCCAACTCTGTCCCACATGGTGGCTCAGAACACACTCGATGTATCTTCCTCCTCCCTCCTCCCTCCTCCCTCCTCCTCCTCCTCCTCCTCCTCCTCCTCCTCCTCCTCCTCCTCCTCCTCCTCCTCCTCCTCCTCCCCCTCCAACACGGCAGGAGCGACGTCACGATGCGACTGGCTCAGAGCACGCTCCACGAGATCTGGAGCCTCTTGGAGGCCCTCGTCTCTCGAGCTCCGGAGCCCGCGCGGAGCAGCGGGAAGGCCTCGAGATCTTCGAACGCATCCTGGAACGCATCGTTGTGGTCTGGGGCGCGCAGGGACATGCCAGTGCGATGGGCCTCGGTTGGAGGCACGCGTCCGATCCGAGCATACAGTACGAACATGTCTTGAAGTAGATCGTTGCCCGAGCGGTAAGGCCAGAAAGCACCTGCCACGGAGCACACCCTATACTGAGATTGACGGCGCGCGCATCGCCCCTGGGCTGCAGACGCACACAGAGAATTAGCAGAATTGGGTGATGGCGATGGTATAGTGGCTGGGCGGGTGGATGGAAGGACGGGGGAGGGTTGGGGCTCGGAAAACAACAATTTTCCCATGATTAAGCGGCCCCCGGGGCCGGGATATAAGGCGCCTTTCTCCAAAGGGGGGGAGGCTGGAATATTAAGGCGGTTTCGCGTGACCGAAGCGAAGGGGGGGCTGGAGAATTATCGCGCTCTTTGAATGGCCATGTTGGGCAAGAGGTTTGAAACTGACCGCAATCGCAGCCATAATCTATATTTACATATATGTACATAAATATATGTGCGTCTGTGGCGTATAAATGTATAGATATGGCGCCTGCACCACAGCATCACATGCACGATTCATCGTATTGATCATAATTGTTGTCGACGTCGCAAACCCGCCGAATTCTGATCATCAATGCAGTCACCACTGTGTAACTACAGCCCCATCATGTCCACCAGCTTAACTACAACGCTCAACTGTCCCAGAGGGGGGGCCGGAAAATTAAGGCGCCTCCCGTGGAGGGGGGGCCGGAGCATTGGTGTGCCGAAGCAGGGGGGGGCCGGTATCTTAGGGGGGGGCCGTTCAATGAGGGATGAGGAGTACCGCTGCTCCCTGGACCTCTCTCGCGGAGTGCGTTCTGACTAGGATGTCGGGGCGAATCCAGCCGTGGCGACGAGGGACGGGTAGCGGTGTCGATGCCTCTCCCTCCTCCGAGGGGTGGGGGGGAGGGGGGGAGGGGGGCGGGCGGGGGATGGAGAGGAGAAGGCATCGGGCCTGCCGCGCGTACGCAGCCCCTCGCCGCCCCCCCCCCCCACCCCCTCATTGCCCTTCTCCCCCCCCCACCGCCCGCCGGAGCTCCACGAGTGCGGAGCGGCTGGAATGGAGGGAGGGCCGCCCCCCGCAGTGAGGCAGTGCCTCTTCCCGCCCCGGAGAGCCGGCGGGCAGGGCGGACGCTCCGAGTCTGGGGCCTCCCCCTCCCCTCACGTCCTGCGAAGGTCCAGCTTCTCCTCCTCCTCCTCCTCCTCCTCCTCCTCCTCCTCCTTGGCCTCGACGTGCTCCTCCTCTTCCTTCTCCTCCTCTCCTCCTCCTCCCCTCTCCTCCTCCTCCTCCTCCTCCTCCTCTCCTCCTCCTCTCCCTCTCATCATCCTCATCCTCATCCTCCTCATCCTCATCCTCATCCTCATCCTCATCCTCATCATCTCATCATCATCATCATCATCATCATCATCATCATCATCATCATCATCATCATCATCATCATCATCATCATCATCATCATAAACAGCATCATCATAAGCAGCATTATCATCAGCAGCAGCATCATCATCATCACCATCATCACCATCATCATCATCATCAGCATCATCATCATCAGCATCAGCATCAGCATCAGCATCAGCATCACCATCATCAGCATCATCATCATCATCAGCATCAGCATCAGCATCAGCATCAGCATCAGCATCATCATCATCATCATCGTCATCATCGTCATCGTCATCGTCATCATCATCATCACCATCATCACCATCATCATCAGCATCATCATCGTCGTCATCGTCATCGTCATCGTCATCATCATCATCAGAATCAACATCATCACCATCATCAGCATCATCATCAGCATAAGCATCATCATCAGCATCTTCAGCAGCATCATCATCACCAGCAACGCCATCATCATCAACATCAGCATCAACATCAACATCAGCATCATCAACAACATCATCATCACCAACATCATCATCATCATTACCGTCAGCCTCCTCCGCCTCGACGTGCTCCTCCTCCTCCTTGTCATCATCATCATCACCACCATCAGCATCATCACCACCATCATCATAAATATCATCCTCATCATCATCATCACCAGCAGCAGCATCATCATCAGCAGCAGCATCATCATTATAATCAACTTCAGCATCAATATCAACACCATCATCAGCATCGCCATCACCATCATCATCATCATCATCATCATCATCAGCATCATCATCATCATCAACAGCATCATCATCATTACCGTCATCATCATCATCATCATCACCATCACCATCACCATCACCATCACCATCATCATCACCATCATCATCATCACCATCACCATCATCATCATCATCATCATCATCATCATCAACATCATCAACATCGTCATTGTTTGGGGGCCCTCCCCTCCCGTCCTGCGGAGGTCCAGCCTCTCCAGCGCGGCCAGCCCGCAGAAACCGTCTGGCAGAGCCCGCAGCCTGTTGTCCTGCAGGTGCAGCTCCTCGGGCGCCCAGGCAGCAGCGAGGAGGGTCGCCGCCAGGGGGGAGGCACTGGAGGCACTACGAAGACGAAGTCTTTTCCCAAGATGCAGACAAGGATGGGGGAACGAACAATGACAGAAACACAACAACTCGGAGGTCCGCGCGGACTTCTCGGATTGGCGCTCGACCCCCTTCCATGGCGCGCGGAGCGCGCCAGGGGCGGCGCTGGAGGCGCCGCCAGGGGGGTCCAGCGCGGACCCGAGAAATCCGCGCGGACCTCCGAGTTGTTATGTTTATGTTATCCTTCGTTCCCCTGAGAGAACAGGGAGGAGTCCCCGCCGCCCGTGACCTGCCCACCCGAGACGGCGTGGTGCGCAGGGTGGCCGGCTGGGCCCCCGAGCCTTCACCACTCTTCCGCCGCCTCCTCGAGGAAGGGGGCGCCTCAGCTCAGGACCCCCCCCGCGCCCCCATCCTGGGATCGTGCGCAGGCGTGCGAGCACACCCCTAGCGTCGGAAGACCACAGCAAGAGCTGTCCCGAGCACCATCTACGACGGAATCATCAAGAGGAGCTACATTCATGCTCCACTGTCGCAACACTGCACCGATCTTACACCATGCGACGCTGTCCGATTGCACACCCTACTGCATCCCAAATACGCTGGAACCGAAATCCTTCATGATACTCTCCCTGAAGAGCCGTACCAGATCAGATCCGGCCTGGGCATGTTCCTGTGTGGTTTCATGTGTTGTTCAGATCCTGCCAATGACACGCGCCACCATGCCTTCAGCACATCGTGGAGTGCCCCAAGGCTCATACAATTGTGCGTCGTAGATGGACTGTCGTCCTCGTGTCGGAGTGTCGGAGGTTGGGGGGGGAGATCGCAGTGAAGCGGAGAGCTCCCCCTTGGGAAATCAATTTCGTGATCGTGTCGTGCGTGCGGGTGAGGCGACGCTGCGTGGGCTGCTACGGCGCCGCCTGACCAAAAAACACCCCCCCGGCGTGGCAGGCGGGGGCCGGGGGCGTCCAGCCGTGGTGTCCCGATGGTGTCCCGTGGTGTACCGCCGTGTTCCGATGGTGTTCCGATGGTGTCTTGGTCGCGTCCTGGTGGTGTCCCGATCGATGTCCCGATTGGTTGCCCGATTGGTGTCCCGATGGTGTCCCGTTAATGACCCGCAATGGGATCGATAGTGAAATCGATAGTGCGATCGCTAGTGAGACCGATCGTGAAATCGATGGTCGGATCGATAGTGCGACCGATAGTGATATCGATAGAGAAATTGATAGTGAGATCGATCGTGAGAGCGATCGTGAGATCGACATTGGTATCGATAGTGAGATCGACTGTGAAATCGATGGTGAGAGGGATCGTGAGATCGATGGTGAGAGGCATAGTGAATCGATTGTGAGATCGATCGGGTGAGATCGATAGCGAGATCGACAAAATGTCTCTGCGGTGTCCCGTCGGTGTCCCGTATTGGGATCAATAGATAGACCGATCGTGACTCCGATAGTGAGATCGAGAGTGAGGGCTAGAGTGAGATCGATAGTGAGATGTGCACTCGATTGAGTGAGACGTTGGGCCCTTCCCTCCCAATCCTTCTTATCGCCCCAAGGGTGGTCGCATATATAAGATCATACTTCTGCGGGCGTTCCTGGAATGTGTCGGCGCGCGCCGGGCAAGCCTAAGGGGAGCCTAAACGATCCCAAGAGTGACCCAGCACGGGCCAAGAGGGCCCCAAGAGGCCCCAAAGACGGTTCAAGAGGGCTCCAAGTCGCCCTAATCGCTCGAAGACGCCACACATGGCCTGAAGACGACCCAAGAGGCTCCTAACACACTGCAAGAGAGCCCAAAAAGGGCCCCAAGAGCCTAAACTGAATCTTCCTTTGTTTTTGGTTCAATTCTAGCGTCCTCGCAGTTTTGGGCTCCTGGTGCTTCAATATGGCCTGAAAGGCCCCAAAGATCGCCCCTAGACGGCTAAAGAGGCCCCCAGGATGGCCCAAGAGGGCCCCAAGACGGCCCAATAACCTTGTGCCAGACGGGAATAATCCCGCAGAGATAATGAAGTTCGGGGTCCAGGAAGGATAACAAGTTCTGCCCTGGAAATATCGATGTTAAGATGTCTGGATCGGTCTTGAAGAGCCTCCATGATGTAGCCTCCAAGCTCTTTCTTAATGGCCTCCCTGGAGATGTGGGAGGAGCACAACTCCGATGACACACGATGGTGAAATGGTGGATTGGTCCCTCTCGGGGCGCCTCCTTGGCGATGTCGAACAAACACACATTTTGTAAAATAGCGAAGTATCAATTACATTGGGTCCTTTCGGGGGGGCCTCCCTAGAGGAGAGAGGAGGACGACGAAGACTCTGGGAAGATTTCGATTCGTGGTGGTTTAAAACTCGTCGCGTAGATCTACTCATGGCCATTGTTTTCAAAGATAAGAGAGAGCGCGTTTCACGGGCGCTTGACTTGGGAACATTCGGCGGCGCGTTTCAAATCGGGGGGGGGGCCCTCTCAACATTCGGCGCCGTCGATCAGAACCAGGGGGGCTCCCCTCCTCCCTAATCTCCCCCTCCCCGATCCCTCCCCCCCTTGGCCCCCCTAGGGGAGGAGGGGGGGTTCGAACAGGAACGCAGGGACGATGACCAAAGAGGGCCCAGAGACCGCATATGGGAAACACAAATCGCCTTATCGAGCCCTCGTCCCCCAACAGCCACCTGGAGGCCCTTAGGAAGGTGCAAGAGTCAGAGACGCTCATGACGCGCCCAGGAGGCTTTACAAATGATCCTCAGACGCCCCCGAGACCCCTCTGACGAGACCCCAAGAGGCATCCACTCAAACTCTGACCCCAAGCCAAGGTACGGTGGCGGGAAGACCCAACGGCCACACAACCACCACAACCACCACTAACCACCACACCACCATCACGACCACCGCCACCACCACCACCACCTCCACCACCACCACAAACTACCATCACCACCACAAACCACCACACCACCACCACCACCACCACCACCACTACCCAAAACCACAACCACCACCACCACAACAAACCACCACACCACCACCACAACCATAACCACCACCATCGTCACCACCACCACCACCAACACAACCCACCACCACCACAACAACTACCACCCCTACCACAAACCACTACGCCACCACCACAACCATAACCGCCACCACAACCCACCACAACCCACCACAACCACCAGCACCACCACACGACACTACACCACCATCACCACCACCAATGCCACCACCACCACCACCACCACAACAAACCACCACCATCACCACCACAAACCACAACACAACCACCGCAACCACAACCACCACCGCCACCAAGACCACCACCATCAGCAACCATTACCACCAGCACCACCACCAGCGCCACCACCAGCACAACCACCAACACCACGAACCACGGCCCACCACCACCACCACCACCACAAACCACTACGCCACAACCATAACCAACAACAACACCACCGCCACCACCACTGCCACCACCACCACCACCACAACCCACCACCACTACCACCGCCACAAACCACCACACAACCACCACCACAATAGCCACCGCCACCACCACAACAGCCCACCACCACCACCACAACAATCCACCATCACGACCACCACCACCACCACAATCCATAACACCACCACCACCACCACTACCACCACACCCACAACCACTACCACCACCACAACCCACCACGTCACCACCACAAACCACTACACCTCAACCACCACCATAACCCACCACACCACCACCACCACCACCGCCGTAACCACCACCTCCACCACAACCACAAACTACCACCACCACCACAAACCACCACACCACCACAAACCACCACCACCGCCTCCGCTACCAGCACCACCACGTCCACCACCTCCACAACCCACCACCACCGCCACCACCACCACCAAAACCCACCACACCACCACCACCACCACCACCGCCGCACACACCACCTCCATGAACACTACAAACTACCACCACCCCCACGACGAACCACCACACCACCACCACCGCCATCACCACCAACACCAACACAACCACCACCACCACAACAAACCACCACACCACCACCACCACCACCACACCCACCACCACCCATCACCACAACCGCCACCACAACCCACCACCACAACAACTACCACCACCACAACCACCACGACAAACCACCACGACAAACCACCGCCACCACCACCTCCACAACCCACCACCACCACAAGTATCACCACCACAACCACGAACCACCACACCACCACGACCACCACCATCACCACCGCCACCATCACCACCACCACAACATACCACCACCACCACCACCACCACCACACCACCACCAACGCAACCACCACCACCACCAACAGCCACCACGCCACCACGGGAAGGGGGGGGTTCGAAACCCCCCCGGGACGGGAGGAGGGGAGGGAGGGGGGTTCGAACCCACCCCCCTTCAATCCAAGGGGGGGGGTCCCGACCCCCCTCCAAGCATCCACAGAACGCGCCCTTCCAGAGATATCAAACGCCTGGGGTAAAAAAGTGCGGGCAGGGGACGGAGGATGGGGACGAGGAACGGGAGACAGAGACGAGAAGAGAAGGAAGAGAAGAAGAGAAGGAGAAGAAGGAAGAGAGAATGAACAGAGCTGGAGCAGGAAGAGCAAGAGGAGGAGAAGATGGAAGAGGAGAATGAGGAGAGGGAGGAGGAGGAGAGGGAGGAGAAGGAGGAGGAGGAGAGGGATGACTGTTTTACAAAAATAAGCAGTTTGCTTAAGACATCCTCGAACTGCTGATGGTCGCGAACTCGGCGGATCTTCGAACATCGGCGCTGCGCTTGAGACATCCTCATGCACATGATAATAAGGATTAATGGTGTTACGCATGCTATGAAGATCAGAGCTGCCATGCGAACTGGGAAGTGATACTCCAGTTCCCCCCCCCCCGCGCCTGTTGTGGCAATTTGAAGCCATATTCAGCCCAGGGATAATCAGCTATAACAGGTTATAATCCCGTATAATGCAATATCACCCGTATAAACGGAGGCTACGTTACTATCGTCGGCACAGTGTTAGGCCTCCAAGACGGCCCCAAGACGGCTCAAGAGAGGGAATCGTAAGTGACATTTTGACCCCTCCGCCCAAAGATGGCCCCCGAGACCTCCAGAAGGCCCCCAAGAGGTTAATAGGAAGCCCTAGGAGGCTCCCGAGAGGCCTCCAGGAGGCCAAAAGCCTTACCAAAAGAGGCCCCCCAGAGGCTCCCGAGACGCCCGTTCGAAGACACTCACAAACGCCTCGAAGAGGCTTCCGAGAGGCCCCCCAAGAGATCCCTACTGGCATCCAAGAGGCCTCTGACCTACATTGGCGTGCTAGGCGTTCTGCTGTGTTGAACCTTGTTTAAGGGTTCCCGCTGGCCTCCGCCCAACCCGCCGGCCACAATGAAGAACCCCCAAATCCTGGAAACCCGCCTCCAAGACGGCCAAGATGGCCCAAGATGGCCTCGAAGACAACCAAGATGGCACAAGATGGCCTCCAAGACGCCTACAAGACGGCCCCAACACGGCCCAAGATGCCCTCAAGACGCCCCAAGAGGGCTTCAAGAGGACCTTCAGGATGCCAAGATCCTTAAATGTCTCAGGCGCTTCCGTTTAGCATTCTCGCCTTTTCTGGCTTCTGACACTCCAAGACGGCCCCCCAATCGCCCCAAGACTGCCCAAGATGAGGGCCCCCAAGATGGCCCCAAGACGGCCCTACGGACCTCCAAGACAACCCTACAGCGCCCAAAGAGGGGCACGCGACTGGCCAGAGAGACCCCAAGACGGCCTCCTAAGGCAAATAGGTCCCGTAGAGGCCCCAAGAGGCCCCGAAGGAGCCCCAACTGGCCACAAAAGGCCCCAGGAGGCCCCCAAGAAGCCCCGCGGAGGCCTCCAAGACAACCCCTGCAGGGCCCAAAAAGCCTCAAGACGGCATCAGATGGCCTCATGTTCCTCCTCCTCCTCCGTCTCCTCCTCGTTCTCCTGTTCCTCCTCCTCCTCCTCGTCCTCCTGTCCCTCCTCTCATCCTCCTTCTCCTCCCTCAAATCCTCCTTTCTGTTTCGCTCCCAGGTGTTCCCGCAAGGGGTTCGACAACGGCTGAGGGAAAACATAGAGCAATAGTTTGCCCAGACTTTGACAAAACGCTTGGCCGCATGGGCGTCTCCAAAAGGCAGGGCGGCGGTGCAACGCCCCATCTGGCCCCGGCACGATCCCTTGTAAATGATACGGCGTGGTGGACATTGTTTGATATATGGTGCGAGCTCCGTGTGAAGCACACCGTGCGGATTGCCTGCGCGCTTGCGCTCGAACGAAACAAAACCATTCAAGCTACAATGAGGCCGGTAATCCGCGTCCGCCCCAATACTCGTGAGCGTCACTCTCAAAATGCGCACATGACGAGTTCGTCGGCCTGCGCGGTCCTCCGAGATGATCTAGCGGACAGGTTGATGAGATCCCCAACAGTCGGACAAGAGGTGCGTGTGTGTGTGAGTGTGTCACGAGTTTCTCTGGCAAGATGGGCTTCTCAGAAAGCCAGGGAACTTCCGAGTCTTCTGAGAAGGCCCGCCACTTCTCACTTCCCCTCCGGGCCCGCCGCCGACTTGTGGTGTCCAAAACCCGGGTAGCGAGGCGACAGGAGCTTCCAGAAGGTCCTCCGAAGGAGCTGTAGAAGCTCTGGGAAGGAGCTTCTAGAAAGCTTCGGGACTGTTCCGGAGGGAAGGGGAGGATGGGAGTGCAACGCCAAGGGACGCCACCACGAGGGGGGCCGCCACGTCCTCGAGGCAACGCCCTGCACTCGAGGAAAAGGGCCTCAAGCACACTCCAGCACCTTTCGCAACGAACCCAGACGTCCGAGGACTGATCGGCGACTTTTCCACCACCACTACCTTATCAGGAGAGGGAGGATAATGATGATGATGATGAGGATGAGGAGGAAGAGGAGAAGTGGGAAGAGGATGATGATGCTGATGCTGATGTTGATGCTGATGATGATGATGATGACGACGACGATGATGATGATGATGATGATGATGATGATGATGATGATGATGATGATGATGATGATGATGATGATGATGCTGATGCTGATGCTGATGATCATGATGATGATGATGATGATGATGATGATGATGATGATGATGATGAAGATGATGATGATGATGATGATGATGGGGAGGAGGAGGACGAGGAGGAGGAGGACGAGGAGGAGGACCTTCTCATCCCCCCTTCTCCCCCGTCCTACACATGGTAATGTCAGCTTGTGATCAACAAATCCGCGGGGGGGCGCGTGTTTTTTTTGTTAATAGTTCCCCTGCTCGGGCGAATCGCGGGGTGGCGCCCGCCAGATTGAAAATCAACGGGGCGGCGCCAGTGATTAGCGCCGCCGACGTCCGGCCGTCAACGAGGAGCAAGGGGGGTTGTTTGGGGGCAAGGGCGAGCCAGGGCGCCCCTCTTTCTGTCGAACCGATGCGGGCCTGCGGGCAAGGCGGCTGGACGAAAGTAGGGCGCAGAAAAGGGGGGATTTGCAAAGCAGCTCACATCGCCGATTTTCCAAGCGCCTCCTGGCGCCGAAAGCGGCCATGCCTTCTCCTCCTCCTCCTCCTCGTCCTGCTCCTCCTGCTCCTCCTCCTCCTCCTCCTCTTCCTCTTCCTCCTCCTTCTCCTCCTCCTCCTCCTCCTCCTCCCTCCTCCTCCTCCACCTCCTCCTCCTCCTCCTCCTCCTCCTCCTCCTCCTCCTCCTCCTCCTCCTCCTCCTCCCTCTCCTCCCCCTCCCTCTCCTCCTCCTCCTCTTCCTTGTCCTCCTCCTTCTGCTCCTTCTCCCCGCTCCCCCTCCTCTCCCCTCCTTCCCCCTGTCGCGCGTGAAAAAAAAGTATCGCCCCCGCGGGGTCTGTTCATCAGCCCCAGGGGGGGTGGGCCTGCCCTTTTCCTAATCACAAGCTGACATTGACTGGTGGTGGAAAATTCGCCCATCAAGAACCTCCTCGAGCTTCGCTCCCGGAGCCTCGGCTCCCAGGAGGAGCTGGTGACCCCCCCCGCCGAGGCACCCCTCCTCGACACTGCCCGCGGCGGGCGGGGGTCTCGGAGGAGGAGGAGGAGGAGGAGGGGGAGGAGGAGGAGGAGGAGGAGGAGGAGGAGGAGGAGGAGCAGGAGCAGTCCTGCAGCCTCGGCAGCTGGCCGAAGCTCTGCGGCAGCGAGCACAGCCTGTTGGAGTGGAGCCAGAGGCGCTCCAGGGCCTCGCGGCCGGGGGTCGGCTGCGGGGCTAGGGGGGGGGGGGGGATCGGGGATCGAGGGGGATCGAGGGACGAGGTGGAGGGGCGAGGATGGAGGATCGAGGATCGTGGAGGATCCAGGGCCTCTCGGCTGTGGTCGGCTGCGGGGCTAAGGGGGGGATCGGGGATCATCGAGGAGGATCGAGGGACGAGGATGGAGGACGGACGGGGGACAGATGTGGCAGTAATTTTGTGCAGCGCACCACCCCCACGAACGAGCTGGCCTGGCACGAGACCGTGGAGCGGGGAGTTGTGCTCCAAGCTCGAAATGGACCAGGGCGAAGCCCCTCTTGACGCTCGAGTAGGGAATCGGCTACAGAATTGACGTGCCCCAAGATTGTCTGTCTCCTCGAGTCTACGAATCGTACGTAGGATGTTCGTAGATCTACAGCGCCTGCTATGCATGCTGCCATCGCTGCGGCGAAACATCAACTTTGGGGCAGCTCAACTCTGTGGTCGATCTCCTACCAGAAGAGGCTGCGCTGGGAGGCCAAACCTGCAGGCCGTGGGCCCTGCTACCTGGCGCCGCCGCGCTCCGCTCCACCAGAGCCTCACGGTGACGGCCAAGGACTCCCCAGACGTCTGCTGCCTTGAGACTTTCGAGACGCGGAGGAGGAGGAGGAGGAGGAGGAGGAGGAGGAGGAGGAGGAGGAGGAGGGGGAGGAGGAGGGGGAGGAGGAGGAGGAGGAGGAGGAGGAGGAGGAGGTTCGAGACGCGGTCCCCGGAAGTCTCGACCCCCAAGGCTGTTTTTGTGAAGTCCCGGGTCGCTTTCTGGCAGTCCTGGGGTCGGGCGACGGGCCCAAGGGGCCGAGAGTGGCAAAAAACCTCCGCCGCGCTCTGTTCAAGGCGGTGGATCCCTCGGTCCTGGCAGCGGCTACGGGCTTTGCAGTGGTCGGCCCCCCTGGGGGGGGCTCCCCCGCGGCCGCCGGAGCCCTGGCCGCGACGGCCGCCGAGGCCTGGCGAGAGGCTGGCGCCGACCGCGCGCTGGAGGCAGCCGACGCTGCTCGAGTGCGGCTTCGACCGCCAGCCGACTCCCATGGGACACTTCTGTGATGGGCCGATTTTCCACCACCACTACCAGGCAGGACGGGGGAGAAGGGAGGACAGGGAGGTCCTCCTCCTTCGTCTCCTCCTCCCCTCCTCCTCCTCCTCCGCCTCCTCCTCCTCCTCTTCCTCCTCCTCTTTCATTCTCTTCCTCCTCCTCCTCATCCTCCTCCTCTTCCTCCTCTTCTCATTTTCTTCTTCTCCTCCTCCTCCTCCTCCTCCTCCTCCTCCTCCTCCTCCTCCTCCTCCTCCTCCTCCTCCCTCGCCTATGGCAGGTGTGGTGGAAAATCGGCGCATCAATATGTGGCAACTCACTGGGGCCTCCCATGCCATATTTCTGGCCCTCGCGAATCGGCGCTGATCGACACCAGCCGACGCTCTAGTCGACGCTACATCGGCGCTCATCGACCACTCTGAGGCGGCGCTCCCTCAGCGATCACCAGACGCTAGCGAACTCGAGCACGACGGGAACAGCATGACGCAGGCTCCTACGATGATTCTGCCGAAGCCGACGCTGCCCTGCTCGGGTGCGGACGCGCGGTCGCACGGCTGCGCCCCGCCGCCGCGCTCTGCCCCCCCGCCGCCCCTCCCCCGCCGCGAGGGGCCCGCTCCGAGGCCGCGCCGCCCAGGGCCCCACCCCAGCCCGCAGGGCCCGCTCCGAGCGGCGCCCTCTCCCGCCCCGTGGGGCCCGCTCGGGGTCCTCCTCCTCCTCCTCCTCCTCCTCCTCCTCCTCCTCAACCTCCTCCTCCACCTCCTCCTCCTCCACCTCCTCCTCCTCCTCCCTCTCTCCGCCTCCTCCCTCCTCCTCCTCCTCCTCCTCCTCTCCTCCTCTCCTCCTCCCTCCTCCTCCTCCTCCTCCTCCTCCTCCTCCTCCTCCTCCTCCTCCTCCTCCTCCTCCTCCTCCTCCTCCTCCTCCTCCTCCTCCTCCTCCTCCTCCTCCTCCTCCTCCTCCTCCTACCTCCTCCTCCTCCTCCTCCTCCTCCTCCTCCTCCTCCTCCTCCTCCTCCTCCTCCTCCTCCTCCTCCTCCTCCTCCTCCTCCTCCTCCTCCTCCTCCTCCCTCCTCCTCCTCCTCCTCCTCCTCCTCCTCCTCCTCCTCCTCCTCCTCCTCCTCCTCCTCCTCCTCCTCCTCCTCCTCCTCCTCCTCCTCCTCCGCCTCCTCCTCCTCCTCCTCCTCCTCCTCCTCCTCCTCCTCTCCTCCTCCTCCTCCTCCTCCTCCTCCTCCTCCTCCTCCTCCTCCTCCTCCTCCTCCTCCTCCTCCTCCTCCTCCTCCTCACTCCTCCTCCTCCTCCTCCTCCTCCTCCTCCTCCTCCTCCTCCTCCTCCTCCTCCTCCTCCTCCTCTTTCTCCTCCTCCTATTTCTCCTCCTCCTCCTCCTCCTCCTCCTCCTCCTCCTCCTCCTCCTCCACGAGCTGGCCGTCGAGCGTCGTGCGCGAGCTGGCCGTCGAGCACTCGGCGGCGCCGCTCTCGGCCACGGGACGACGTGTCCCATAAGGGATGCGGGGGGGGGCTCTTTCCTCCTCCTCCTCCCCTCCCCTCCTCCTCCTTCTCCTCCTCCTTCTTCTCCTCCTCCTCCTCCTCCTCCTCCTCCTCCTCCTCCTCGTCCTACTCGTCCTCCTCCTCCTCCTCCTGGCGATTTTTGTTTCCTCATGGCGCCATGCGAAGCTCGTTGCAAAGGGAGTGATGGCAGATCTGGTGTATGCTGTTCTCGTGAATCAGGCGCGCTACCGTGCTTGACGGGGCAATTCGGCGTCAGCGCGCTGCGCTTGCTCTAAGCCTCGTCGCCCACGTAATTGCCTCGGCACCCTAGTTCAGGTGCGCGCCATGGCAATACGAGACCGACGGCTGAGCGACATCAATAAATCCTTCTGTGGCCGCTTGAACCAAGATGGGCACGGCAGGCTCGTTCTGTGACGATCCCAGTGTTGGACTCTGAGACCGCGTGGACCAATCAACCCTGATCTGAACGATCAGCGGCTCGGCTTTTCGATCGCCAGATCGCTCCGCACTGGCCAGTTCTGGGGCCCTGCCGGCCTCCCACCTTGAACGCCCGCGGCGGGGTCGCCGCTGCACCGCGAGGAGGGGACCTCTGGGGTGGGGGCGCCTGCAGGTCAGGGCCCGGGGCCTGCACCCTACACTTATACGGGCCTCAGGGGCACCGGCCCCGAAGCGTGCGCCTCCTCCTGCTGCCGCTGCCCTCTGCTCCCGCGCCTTCTCTGCCTCCGGCTGCGGCGCCCCGCCCACGCGTGGGTAGCCCGTGGGGGCCTGGCCTCCGAAGGGACCTCTTGAGGCTCGGGCGTTGCCGGGTGTGTCCCTGGCCCGAGGTGTGCCCAGGATTGCAGAGGACAAGCGAGGGGGGGCGAGGAAGGAGAGGGGGCTGAGGAGGAGGGGCGAGGAGAGGGAGGGGGGGAGGAGGAGGGGCGAGGAGGGGGAGGGGTGCGCGGGGGAGGGGGGGGGAGTGATGGGGAGGATGAGGAGGAGGAGCAGGATGAGGAGGACGAGGACGAGTGCGAGGAGGAGGACGCGGACCGTGTGCTGCACGTTTACAAGGTAATCAAGTAAAGTAGGCCAGAGGGCTCTGGGATGGTCAGAAACTGGTGGCCTCTGCACTGTAAAATGGGCCCGAGGTCCACTTGACGTTGCAGATTTGACTACCCAGCCCGAAAAACTCCTCCTTCTAAACACAAATTAATGGGGCCACTACGGGGAGCCAATGGTCCGGCGACGGGGATCACGAGGAGCCGAAACGCGACGACTGTTTGTGTTGGAGCACAAACCGAGGCGCCACCACGTGCTGGTGATGATGATGGTACGTCATGATGATGGGGATGACACGATTGAGGATGGTGGTGATGGTGATGGCGATGGTGATGATGGTGATGGTGTGAGTGATGAGTAATATGGGTACGAGTATGATAATGATGGTGATGATGGTGATGATGATGATCATCCTCATGATGATGATGTCGATGAGAGTGATGATGATGGTGGTGATGAGAATGACGAAGATGATGATGTTGATGATGATGGCGATGAAGGCGATGGTGGTGGTGATGGTGGTGATGGTGTTGGTGGTGATGGTGGTGATGGAGGTGGTGGCATTGATGATAGTTACTGTGACGGTGATGGTGGTGGTGGCGATGATGATGATGATGATGATGATGCTGAACACGATGATGATGGTGATGGTGGTGATGGTGGTGATACTGATGATGATGATGATGATGATGATGATGATGCTGACAATGATGAGGTTGATGTTGATGGTGATGCTGATGGTGATGATGATGCTAATGATGCTGATGGTGGTAATGGCGGTGACGACGAGGAGGGGCGAAGTGCTTCTGCGTGAGGCTCCTGCGCGGGAACTGCCCAGGAACAGCAAGATCCCCATCCAGGATGCAAAGCCTGAAACGAGCGGGCGATTGCGGAGGCCGACAGACGCGCGCGCGCGCCTGCAGCTTCCCGAAGCTCTCGGGCAGCCCAAGGAGGTGGTTCGAGCCTGAGCCGCGCTGGGGGACACCCTCCTCCTCCTCATCCTCCTACCCCTGTCGTTCTCTTCCCCCTCATTCTCCGTTTCCTGCCACTCCTCCGGTTCACTGCTCCTCCTCATCCTTCTCCTCTTTATCCTCCTCTCCTTTCCTCCCTCCCTCCCTCCTCCCTCCCTCCATCCCTCACCCTCATCCTCATCCTCGTCCTCCTCGCTCTCCCTACTGTACGCCTCCTCATCATGTCACTCCTCCTCCTCGTCCTCCTGCTCCTCCTCTCGAGTTTTCTCTCCCGCCGCGCCGAGGCAAAGATCCCGCGCGGCGCCCAGCTGGCCGATGCTGTCGGGCAGCGTCCCGAGCTCGCGGCGAAGGTTTCTTGTTTCCGTCGTCGTCGTCGTCGTCGTCGTCGTCGCGGTCGTGGCCTTGGACGTCGCCGTCGTCGGCGTGGTCGTGGTCCTCGTCGCCGCCGTCGCCGTCGTCGTCGCCTTCGTCCTCGTCACGGTCATGGCCTTGGTCGTCGTCGTGGTCGGATCGGCGTCGCAGTCGTGACCGTGGCCGTGGTCGCGCCCCCTCCCCCTTCGCGCTCCCACTCTCAAGCCCCCCTCATCCTTCCCCCACTTCCACCTCCCATCCCATTCGTGCGCCCTCTGCCCTCCACTCGTGCCCTCCATTCGTGCGCTCTGCCCTCCATTCGTGCGCTGCCCTCTATTCGTGCGCTCTGTCCTCCAAGAGGTCCAGTCTGCCCTCCATCCGTGCGCTGTGCATCGCCGCGGGCTTCCGCGCGGCCCTCTGGACCGCCGAGCAGCTGAATGACCCAGGGGGGAAAAGGGAGCGGGAGGAAGGAGCAGACGGCCAGGGAAGGAACCAGGAGGGAGAGCGAGGGGGAAGGATGAGGCGAGGGGGAACAGGAGTGGGGAGGAGAAGGAGGAGAGGTGGAGGAGGAGGAGGCTCGCTCGCTCGCAATCTGCGCATGGCCAGGTTTCACAGTTCGTGAATCGAAGTTGGCCGCAGGGCGTTCGGGAAGCACTGTGCTCCCGCCGATGTCAAAACACTAGGGGAGCCCCTCCCCCAGCAATCAGCTTGGGGACTCCCTGATTGTAGCACAGGGTCGAGAGGCCTGTACGTGCATACACAGACAGCATCTCGGAGACGCAGAGAGGACCAGAGAGACAGCGGCGGCAGCCAGGGGCGGCAGCAGCGGAGAACGAGAGGGGGAGAGATAGGCCAGCCAGGCCCCTATGCCTAGGCTGGGGCACCGATGGGGCAGTAGACGAGGTGCTGACCTCGCCCGAATCCCCAGCAAATCAACCAAATACTGCATTCGAACGAACTATTTACCCCTAGAATGTCCAGACCCTTTCCCACGGCCTCTATGTCGGCCTCGACCTTTGGGGCGCACCAGCGGGTCCCACTCACCCTGAAACTGCACCAGTCCGCGCTCAGAGATCGAACCTAGGGCCCGCCGAGAACCTACTTGGACTTCCTGTGGCGGGCCCCGCGAAGCATTTTCTCCAGCGGGTTCTGAACTCGGCGCTCCTGGGTGGTTTTCGGTGGGGGGCCCAGCTTCGGCATGCTCCCGAGGGCCATGAACAAAGCCGTGAGAACCGAACAAGGGAATCATCAGGCCTCCAGGCCCCTGCGCCCACGAGTTGACGAAGAAGGTGTGGCGGACGAGAGGCGGCGCTCCTTCCTTCACGAACGCGGTCTTCGTTTTCCAGTAGCGGAGCGTCTCGCATGCCACGGCCTTCGGCTGCACCTTCACGTGCTGGATGAGCTTCGTCACTGACTGCACGTGCTCCTGCAGGGTCGGTCGGGTTCTGCTTCAGCGCCTCCTGGTTGACCAGCGCCTCGAGAACCGCCAAGCTCACCTGCAGGCTGGGAGGGCCGAGTCCGTGGTCCGCGGGCTCTTTCACCGTGTCTGCGTACTTCTGAGCGGCTCCGGCGGCGGCAAAAATCATGCCGTGCTCTTTCGGCAGCAGGCGCGTGCTGAAGAGGCGTCCTTCGACTGCTCGCTGACGCTGTGCGTTGTTGAGAACTCCTTTTCATCATCTCGGCCGCAGTCTCGCCATCCGTGTCGCTGTCCTCCGCCATGGCCGTGTCGGCTGCCCCCCTGGGGGAGTGATGGCGGCGGCTCTTGGGGTCGCGCGGCTCGTGCTGCTTGCCGCTGCCTCCAGCGCTGAACGAATTCGTCTGAGAATCGGCTAGGCGCTTCTTCGCTTGGCCCAGCTCCGTCTGGCCGACTGGCATCGCCCACGACATGAGATGCGGCGAAAGAGAATGTGGCGTCGGATAAATCTATATGTGCGCGTACATGCCTCTGCAGAGCCTCGAGCGACGGATGGTCATTGCTGCAAGCTGGGCACTCGAACGTGGGCGGTAAAATCGGCTCGCGATGAATCGGGGATCGGTCGCATTGACAGCTGCGCTTGAGAAATAGGCGTCGAGCGTGCTGACGAGAGATCGCGACGGCCGAGTGCGTGCTCATGCACCAGGGGCACTGGTTCGTGACCGTGAGGAGCTGAGAGGGGGCCCGATGACCGCGGCTGCCAGCCATGCAAAAAACGCATGTGTGCGAACCAGCCCTGTTGATCATGAAACTCCAACCCGCACTCTGAACCATCTACGTTCGTCTCGGTGCATTGCCAAACTCGAGGAGGGGGTACTGGGTCAAGATCGTGCGGATCGCCTCCTCCTCCCGCTGCAGCAACTCCTCCACCGCCCTCCACCCGCCTCTCACCCGCCTCATCGATCTCCCCCTCCCAGAACCTGTTGCGGAGCTTGCCAAAGCTTATTTGGTGCAACCTCGCGCTGAACTCGTCGGTGGAAACTTTCAGATGGATATGCCCCACGGCGGTAAGCAACTCGGGGCCCTTTTCAACACGCACCAGAAGTTTGAGGTCGTTGAGAGCTTGAAGGGCCCAGGGGCCCCCGCGAACCTGACCAGCATCGCCCCGCGTAAGAAGACCATTTTCACAGGAAGCGCATTCTGCGCCATGCATCTGCCCGAAGATCGCTGCTAACAGCTGTTTGTTCTCAGAGCGGTGGGCAGCAATCTCCTGTGGCCAGCGTAGCCGTCGAATACGGAGTTCTAGCTGCGAGGGAACTAGGCCGAGCTTTGTCCAAATGCGCACAGCCGAGAGCGAAATATGCTTGATGGCGCCGTCGGCTTGCGGGATCTCCAAAACTGCGGCGCCCTTTAGCAGCGCGCGACCCTACTATTGCAACCGGCCGCCTATACGCTCATAGTCGCCCGCCGAGGGAATGTGGGCCTCTAGGCCGATGAGTCCTGCTGTCTGCACGCGCGCCTCATAAAAAATAAAAACAAAAGTGCATGCGCAGTTGAACATGATTAACGTACCAGAACCGTCCCATGGCATACCATGCGCTCCTCATACTCTTTTGTATAGCGTGCCGCTGCTGTGCTGTGGTACCCGCGCCATGGCACTGTGCACCTAGATACGTTGCACGCGTGCTGATACGACCTGGTAGACAACGAACAGGATCGGTAAACGATTGAGACTCGCCAAAAGCGCCAGGCCCAACAAACCGTGGCACTGTAACCTGCTTGTCTACATTCAAAGCGCCACCAGCCAATGCAAGGTGACGGGATAGATTGCAGTAGCTGAGCAGACTTGATCAGCCATGCGTTGCGCGGTGGGTGCGACGACCTTATGGGCAGTATCATCAAGATATACAGTGGTCGATAAATCGATAATCTGCTCAATGATACCATTCATCGGGCTGGTGCACATAAGGTCTCGCCCACCGAGGGTAGCTTGCCTTTCCAAACGCCACGAAGCAAGTACACTGCGATCGAAGCTGCGAATGTACTTGACCGGTGCAGATTGGCGACCCTGGGGAACCCCCTCATGAACCTCAAAGTGGCCCACCCCATCTGAACAGTCCAATGTAATAACACTCTGGCGGTTGCTATGAAGACCGAAATAGATACCGTCTGGATGCATATGTAGATAGTCGGCATCGCCGAGGGCGTCGGCAGCAATGCTTCCGAAGGCATTGTCCTTGGCAAAAAGAAAAAAACAGCGCGCAGTGAGACTTATGCAAACGTGAAAGGCGCCAACCCGCAACGAGCTGAATCTTAATAGCTGCTTCGCGGCGCCTGTGGTGGATCCCTCCACGGAGGTGATCAGCAAAGCCTCGTTCAGGATAGCAGGTGTCGCCTCGATGGCCGGGGTATCCACTATACGCCTTGCTGAAGGGGCGCATACGATGCGCGAGACGAACAGAGCGTAGCCCAGGAGACGTAGCTGTAGGCTTTGGTATACTGCAGCCCCAAGACCGATGCCAATTCTGTGGTAGACGAGCCCTGCCTCGAACATCCCAAAGAAACCCACGAACACGATGCGATAACCATTCCATGCTGGGGATTGTTTGGGCAAACGCATCTTGTTCATCTTTGTTTCTGGGGTGCCGATGTGCGGGGAGCAGCATCATCCGAAACATCTCCATGGGCAGGCTCCAAGGGGGGGCACTTGTTCGGCACGCCATTTTTCGAAGCGACAGACAGATGCCCCTGAAGTCCCTCTCCGCCTCCTCCTTGCAAGCTGGCGCATAGAACCTGTAGCCCATCCCGTCCTCCATTCGAACAGCAGGCAGATGAGCTGGGTCTACTTGCGTGGCGGATTGGCCCCCGAGAGGCCCACGCTGTGCGAGAAAATCAGCCCACGTCTGAACAGTCGGGCGCATGCTGAGCGGCTGATTGAAGAGGCGTCGGCCTGGCCCCACGGCCGCGCATGCTAGTCGACGGCGCAGACGGTGGATGAGGGCCCAGCGCGACGCTTTCCAAGCGCGACGCTTTCCGAGCGACTCCATGCGAGACTGGCGATCTGCATCTCGCTCCTTTTTTATCTGGCGTGTGACCGCGAACAATCTAGCCTGGACTTGGGTGAGTTCTTGAAAGTACACACTGTCAGCGATAAAGACGGCAGGAATAGCAGCAAACTTCTCCCGAAGTTCAAATCGATGGCGAAGGAGGGCGCGCTGGGCCTCACGAGCACGGGCGTGGTCAGCATCTTCTTCTGTATATCTAGCAAAATATCACAGGGCGATGCCGCGAATGTCCCCCACGAGCTGCTCGCAGGCCCGATCTGGAGTCGCCTTCCCCTCGAGTTGGTGCCAGGCGGGGAACGTGCGAAAGCACATGTCATCGACCTCGCGGAGAAACCTAGCTCGCCAGAGTCCGTCAACAACTCCTGCGACCATTCGATCATTGTCCCAAGGCTCAGCTTTGGGGTGGGGCGCCGCGGGGAAGCTGAGGAGGTACCTTACCGAGACCTGGAGGGGCCAATGATCCCATCGTCGGACCGCGGGGACAATCTGGAGCCTTCTGCCGAGCTTCTGGAGGACCCTGCACTGCGTAACCGATGAGAGCCAGGTACGAGGGGCCCCTATGTAGTCTGCACGCGTGCTGTTCTGCGTCCCGAAGAACGTGTCCTCCACACCCACGAACGTGTTGACGAGACATAGTATTTTCTTCATACAGTAAGGTTCGGGTCGTGTACCAATATTGCCTATCGGGTCAGACTCATCCGAGATATGTTCAGCTGGGGGCACGCCTGCATGGTCGTTCAGGTCGCCTCCGAAGACGATAGAGCATCTGGCGGGTTGTTCACTAGAAGAGTCCGTCATCCACTGAGGTAGCGCAGCCACACTTTTTTGATAGAGGCGTTTCTGTTTAGCTGTCGACGGCCGAGGGGGGAAGTAAACGACGATGGCCAAGATGTGAAACCGACCCGATCGAAGGAGCACGGCGCCTCCACGCCCTTGAAGAGCGGCTGGTGGTGAATATACTGCAACGATGTGGCGCATCCTGAAGAGATCCTTTCGAAGTCTGATTTGAACTCCTGCATGGGCATTCGACAACGCACCGCGACTGTACCCCCAACTTAGAATGTGGAGATCTGGATCGACGATGCTGCTGCAACAATTGCTTGTCGCTTTCATCCGAAATCTGGTGCCTGTCAGGAAGACGATATCCTTACGAGCGTACGCAAGCGAGACCTCCGTATGTCGGCCTGGCTGGACAAGAGAGCAAACGTTATGTGTGACAAGATTGAGGTTACGATGCTCCACCATCCCATTATCCTCTCTACGCGTGGGGGCGAGGGGCTCCACAAGAACAAGAGGGAGACATGGCGCAGAGAGTAAAAGTATGGTAAGGAAAGGTGAGGCGTGTAGATATGGCATCGCGCGCGGAGCTGGACGCCCAGGAGGAGGAGGAGGAGGAGGAGGAGGAGGAGGAGGAGGAGGAGGGGGAAGAGGAGGAGGATGAAGAGGAATGGGAACAGAGGAGGGGAGGGAGGCAGAAGCAAAGAGGAAGGAGGCAGGGCAGGAATACGCACACCTCCCTCCTGGCGGCAAGATGCGGCCGAAAACACAGGCACCCCCACACCCACCGATCAGCAGGGCAAAGATGGGCCGAAGCGTGAGGATGCAAGGGTAACCTTCCGGAGTCGCTCATCCATACTCTTCGGGTTGGCTGTGGTGGCGCTCCCTGGTAGGGTGGGCTGTCTGGCAGGGTAGCCGCCCGGTAGGGTAACTGCGAGCCGGGCGGTAAGGTGGCTGCGAGATGGCTGGTAGTTGACGGCGGTTGCGCTGTGGTTTAGGGTAGCCGCGAGCTGTCTGGTGAGGTGGAATGTCTGATAGGTTGCTATACCCAGACTCATGCGCGAGCTGTCTGGTAGGATTTTTCATGGTGGGTTGGCTGTATCTCGCCATCCTTCGGAGGCTAAAAACTGCGAGAATGCCGCCACGTTCGAGGACTGCTGGAGGGCCAGCTCACCGTCGCCATACCCAGGTTCCCCCTCCACCTCCCTGTCATCCTCCTCCTTCTCCTCCTCCTCCTCCTCCTCCTTCTCCGCCTCCTCCTCCTCCTCCTCGTCCTCGTCCTCCTCCTCCTCCTTGGCCTCCTCCTTCTCCTCTCTCTATCTCTCTCTATCTCTTCTCCTCCTCCTCCTCCTCCGCCGCCTCCTCCTCCTGCTCCGCTTCCTCCTCCTCCTCGGCCTCCTCCTCCCCCGCCTCTTCCTCCTCCTCGTCCTCCTCCTCCTCCTCCTCCTCCTCCTCTTCCCCATCCACCTCCTCCTCCTCCTCTGCCTCCTCCTCATCCTCTTCCTCCTCCTCATCCTTATACGCCTCCTTCTCCTCCTCCTCCTCCTCTTCCTCCTCCTCCTCTCCTCCTCAGGGTGCAAGGATAACACCTTCGGATGATGGATGCGTTATCGTGCCACCGGAATGAGGTTATATGTATACATGTATATATATAGATGTATATATATGTACAGATATATACACATATGTCTATATAAACATACAGAAATATATAGATTCGTGAGGGTAGGTTAGAGGTGATTTGTGGCGGCTCGTCGGGTAAGTAGCAGACGTGGGTGAGAAAATTACGGCACGTCCTGCAGCCCTGTATTACCGTGGAACCATTGTGGTTGTGCTCGCCGTAGTGCTGTGTTGTGTGATTGCCACAAGGATGCTGGTATAGCAAGAAAATGCCGACGCCAGAGAGTGGTGGATAGGGAGTCGGAGAAAGCAGATAGTCGGTGCGAGCCAACTGTTGCTGCTGCTGCTGGGTGTCCAGTGAGCGCGGCTGATTGGTGGAAGAACAATGCCAAGAAATAGATATGGGAAGGAGCAGCTGGCCGCTGGTGTCGTCTTTTGTCTAGTGGAGCAAACCTGGCAAACATGTGAGAGGTGGATGACGCACTGATAGGCCGCCGATCGGCAGGTCCCATCGTGGAGCCTGTGCCTCGTTCGTTGTGGGTGATCAGGAGGGATTCTCCTGATTCACAAGCAGGCTGGTCGACAGGTCGAACTGGGATGCGTATGCGAATGGTGGCCACGGTTCCCATGCTGGCTCTGCTCCGAGCAGGATGGTTACGTCCATGGTGTTACCCTCGTCTGCAGCCTGGACCGTGGCGTTATCCAGCTCCTCTTCCCCGAGGTAGGCCAGGTCTTCGGCTGCCAGCGGTAGGTGGCTTGTGTCGTTAGCTGGCGTCGGGGTGCTGATATCGGCGACCATCCTGCGGCTTGGTGCCGGCACCTGCTGCGGGGCTTTGGTAGCGGTTGGCAGGTCATGGGTGCGAATCTCCTCCTCCTCCTCCTCCTCCTCCTCCTCCTTATCGGGCAGGAGGGCTCGCGCCAAGGTAGGGCAGCCCGGCCCGTGGCCGACCACGCCGCCGTACAGGCAGGTCCTCGCCGTGCCCCAGGCTGCGGGGAGCTGGCTCCAGCCATGTCGGGGGACGGGGGCCCCCTTCTTCGGGGGACCGGGGCACCCTTCTGAGAAAGACAGCCATCCTGTTGGGAGGGAGGGACTGGGGAAATGCAGTGCGCGACTTTGAGATGATCCCCCTCAACATACGCGGCGAGATTGACGATGCCATCCGTTCTCCCAACCTCACCCTCCCACCCCGGCAATTTTGCCTTCGACGGTACGCGGCGAGGTTGGCGACACGATCCGTTCTCCCGACCCTCACCCTCCCGACCCGAAAAGTTTGTCCTCGACGGTGCAATGAGCACCTTCCACGGTACGCGGCGATGTTGGCGACACGATCCGTTCTCCCGACCCCACCCTCCCAGCCCGGTCCTTGTTGCCCGTCTGCCCCTGCAGAAGGGTGGGCGGGTCGGAGGACAGCCCCGCCCTCAGCCCCGGGGAGGGGGCCCCCTGCTCGGTATGCTCGCGGCATCCCCCCTCCGCAGGCCCTCGCCGGGGGGGCTCGCGCAGTGCACGAGCAGGCGAGGCTGGAGGAGGGGGGGAGCGCAGGGAGCGGGCGGGGGCAGGGAGGAGCGAGGGGCCAAGAGGGAGGAAGGGGGGCGAGGAGGGCGAGGAGGGCGAGGAGAGTCCAGCGAGCAGAGGACGGAGGGCGGAAAGCAGCGGGGGAGGGAATAGAGAGAGAGAGAGAGGAAAGAGGAGTAAGGAGGAAGTGCGAGCAGGGAGGAGAGGGAACACAACAAGGGGAGGGAAGTGGCAGGCGAACGAGAGAGGAAGAGCAGCGAGCAGGAGGAGGGGACGGGAGAGGACGAGGATGAGGACGGCGCTGTAGACATCTCGGCTCTCTCCGACGCTGCACCCTCTCCTCGGACGCCACAGCTAGCTTCGTGGCACGGCTCCCAAGGAATACCGACCCCCTTACCAGGGGCCGGCTCACGTCCTGAGTACGACGCTGCCCCACGGCCCTGCGGGGAAAGGGCCCCGGGAGGCCGCACACGTCAGAGAGCCGGCTGTCGCGGTTACGTCGCCCGGACCCGACGGCGCGAGGGAGGCAAAAACGCCACTGGCCACCTTCAGACTGGGGAGGTACAGCTGCTTGATCTCCAGAATCCGGCGGGCTCCCTGGCGGGAGCAGGGCTCCGAGGCCTGCCGGAGGAAGCCTCGATCCAATCCCTCATACGGTTTCATCTTGGCGACGATCAAGAACGGGTCTTACGCCGGATGGCGTAGCGACCTTACGCGGCGGCTTACGCGGGCCGCCAGCGCGGCACGCCACATTTGAAGCGAGGGCGCTTACGCGAGACCTTACGCGGGAAACTTACGCAGTTCGAATGTCGGGGAAACTTACGCGGGACCTTACGCGGGAAACTTCCCGCGACCTTACGCGGGAAACTTACGACCGAATGTCGGCGCAATCGAACCCGATTTCTTGCGTTGCTCATATGTACATATGTACATCGATGTACATATACATAAACATATAGGACATACCTACATGTGTCTGTACAAATCTATGTATGTATATGTGCGTGCCGCTTTGTGACTCTCTCTGTCTCTTTGTCTCTGTCTCTGTCTCTGTCTCTGTCTCTGTCTCTGTCTCTCTCTCTCTCTCTCTCCCTCATCCCTTGGCATGCATGCGGCCGCCTCGAGCAGCCCGTGACAGGCTGGCCAGGGGGCGTCCGAACGCCTCTCTCGTCGCTCTCTCTCTCTCTCTCTACCTCCCTCTCTCTCTCGTTCTCTCTCTCCGTCTCTCTTTTGTTGTTGTTTCTCTCTGTATATATACAGATATATCGATCCGTTTATAATGCGTGTGCGTATCCCTCTCGCGTTTCTCTCTCTCTCTCTCTCTTCGTCTCTGACTCTGTCTCTCTCTATCTCGCTGCCTCGCTCTCTGCCCGTCTGTCCGTTTCGTCACTCCCTCCCTTTGTTCCTCTCCCGCACTCCCGATCTCCCTCTATTCGCCCAGTTCGCTCGCTCTCTTTCCTTATCTGTGTATATATATATATATATATATATATGTATGCATAAGTGTGTGTATATATATATGTGTATAGATATATGCGGGCATGTCTGTATACAGACTCTCCTCATGTCTAGGGGATATCCCTTCTGCTGCCTACGTCAAGACTTGGCCGCGTCTGTCGAGGCTTCGCACGGTGCCCCGCTGGTGCCCGGTCGTGGGCGCCTCGAGGGCGCCCCGTGAGCCGGGCTTCGTCTGCCGAGGCTCCGCCCGGTGCCCGCTCGGCGCCTGGCCGTGGGCGCCCCGTGGGCGCCCGGTGCGCCGAGTGGGTCCGTCGATCGGCTCCGCCCGGGCGCCCTTTGCCGGTGCTCGGCCGTGGGCGCCTCGTGGGCGCTCCGAGCGCTGGGCTTGGCCAATTGTCGGGGACTCGCAGGGCGCCTCGTGGGCGCCGCGTGGGCGCCCAAATCACCGGGTCGGTCCGTCGAGGCTTCGCCCGGTGCTCGGTGGGTGTGCGGTCGTGAGGCGCCCTGCGGGCGCCCCGCTCGCAGGAGAAGCTGGAGGAGAAACAGGGAGGGGTTCGCAGGGGTGTGAAGTGGAAGGAGAGAATCGGAGGGCGGGAGAAGACACAGACATCAGAACGACGACGACAAAAACGGGAGCAAGGACTCATCGCTGTGCTAGCCGACTTGCCTGTCTCCCATTCCGCCCGAGGCAGAGCTTGAAGGACCACGATGCATGGCGCGAAGCGCCAGTGCAGTCTTGTAGAAATGTGGACATCTACAAATCAACATCGCTATCTCTCTGCATCTACCTATACACGTGTGGATGCGAGCATCTACGTACGCAAGCGCTTCCGATGTACGTAGATGTATGATGTAACTTATGCTTCCTCCTGCCCCTGGCCCCCCTCCTCACCGAGAGCTCCGACGTCGCGACCCCTCCACGACGTGGCCCCCCGGGAAATAGACACCCTCTCCCGGGGACGGGCCTCTTCTCCCGAGCCGTCCTTTCGGACGGCCCCGGGGCCCGGTGAGGCCAGTGGCAGCGGGCATCGAGCCGGGAAGCCGAGTCCCCTCGGAACGTGCGACGGATCGGGCGCCGCGTCCGCACGGAGCCGACATCGAAGCGCCTCGCATGCGCCCCGGGGGAGCATCCGCGCCGTGCACGTGGCGGGCCGTGCCGGATCGTCGGAACGCCAGCGCAGCATCGAAGCAGGTCGGGCCGGCCAGGATCGGCATCGACTCGGAGCGATGGGATCGGCACAAACGCTGGTGAGGGCCCCTGGCAGTGGGGGGGATGGGCAAGAGCCGTCCTCCGTGCTTCTGTGCTTTCCCCCACTCTCCGGGTCTTCGCCTCCGGCTTCTGTCCAAGGCGTTCCTTTTCCTGTGCAAGCTCCTCGGCACCGCCTGCACCCCGGCCCGCCCTCCGGCCGCCTGAGGCCCCGCCCGCCTGTGCTCTGTCTCCCCAATTAGAGCTTTGCGTGGCTCGCCTAGCTTTTGACCGGAAGAGGCTCGCTCTCGACCCGCAGACCAAAAATGTTTTCCCCCACTCTCCCCTCGCGCGGCCGCCCTCGCCTTCTTTCCTTCCTCTTGCACGCCGGACAACTCGCCTTTCGGCTGCCCCGATCAGCCTCACGCTGGTGCGGACTGCCTCCACAGACGTGCGACGTCCTGAATTTGGCAAGACGGGCTCCGGAGTCGGTTCTGCACGGCCCCGAGGCCCAGCGAGGGCCCCCCGAGGCCGAAAATGGCCGAACGCCTCCCGTCCTGATCTGTTTTTACGACGCGAGCGTGTCTGGGACTGCCTCTGCCTCGCCGCCGACGGATACTCCAGATTTCGTAATAAGAGGGAGGGGCTCTGGACCCTCCAAGACAAAAGCCATCTCGGACCCCCCCCCCCGTGGGAGAGCCCTCCCAAAAACACCGTCCCCAGACCCCCCCCAGGGTCCCCCAGGATGGCCTGGAAGAGACCCCCCCCGAAATGAGACCCCCCTCCCTTTTCTTACGAAGGAGGGGGAGGAGGAACTGAAGGAGGAGGAGGGGGAGCGGGAGGATGGAGGAGGGAGGAGGAAGAATAGGTGGATGAGGAAGAGGAGGAGGAGCAGGAGGATAATGAGGAGGAGGAGGAGGAGGAGGAGGAGGAGGAGTAACGTGTTGGTGTTTTATTCCGCGGCCCGCGCGATGCCGGGCAGGGCGCCGTCTGCGACGGCCGCGGGGGGCGGCGGAGGTCCGACGCCGCGAGGCGTAGGGCGGTATCTCCTCGATCTCGTCCACGAAGCAGACGTCGACGAGCCTGCCCTCGGCGGGATCCTTGGCGCGGCGGGCGCCCTCCTCCTCCTCCTCCTGCTGCTGCTCCTCCTCCTCCTCCTCCTCCTCCTCCTCCTCCTTATTCTCCTCCTCCTTCTCCTCCTCCTCCTCCTCCTCCTCCTCCTCCTCCTCCCCCTTCTCCTCCTCCTCCTTTTCTCACCATGCTCAAAACGGTCGTCGTCACCATCACCATCACCATCATCAAAATCATCAGCATCGTCACGCTTATCTTATTCGTCATCATTCGTCATCCTGGTAATCATCCATCGCCATTAATATACTCCTGACCCTCCTCCTCCTCCTCCTTCTCCTCCTCCTTCTCCTCCTCCTCGTCATCATCATCAGCATCGTCCTTATCATTATCACCATCGTCAGTATCAGCATCATCAGCATCATCATCATCATCATCAGCATCATCATCATCACCATCACCGTCGGCAGCATCATCATCAGCATCATAATCAGCATCATCAGCATCATCATTATCAATATCATCATCATCACCATCAGCAGCATCATCATCAACATCGTCAGCATCATCATCAGCATCATCATCACCAGCAGCATCGTCACCATTGTCATCGTCACCACCATCATCGTCATCGTCATCGTCATCATCATCAACAACATCATAATTGCCGTCCTCGTCACCACTATCTTTCCAACATCATAACCATTACCGTCATCATGTTTATCACCACTCATCAACCTTATCATCATCCTCACCATCATCACCACCAACATCACCATTGCCATCACTACTCATCGCATCCACCCGTCGCCATCACAACCATGCCATCGCCACCATCATCATCATTATCATAAAAATCACCACCATCGTCATTATCATCACCATCACCATCACCATCACCATCACCATCACCATCACCATCATCATCATCATCATCATCATCATCATCATCCACAACCTCATCGTCCTCATCTTCGTCAACACCATCATCAGCATAGTCGTCATTGTCATCGACAGCATCGTCGGCATCGGCACCATCATCATCAGCATCGTCATCATCAGCACCAGCATCAGCATCAGCATCATAATCATCAACATCATCCTCATCCTTATCACCAGCCTCAGCCTCAGCCTCAGCCTCAGCCTCAGCCTCCTCCTCCTCGTCATCATCATCGTCGTCGTCATCGAGAGCATCGTCAGCTTCGGCACCACCATCATTCTCATCATCAGCATCATCATCTATCAGCCTCAGCCTCAGCTCAGCATCAGCCTCCTCCTCCTCCATAGCATCATCCTCATCCTCAGCCTTATCATCATCATCATCATCATCATCATCATCATCATCATCAGCAGCAGCAGCAGCAGCAGCATCATAATCAGCAACAGCATCGCCAAGAGCGTTATCCTCGCCATCATCATCAGCACCTGCATCAGTACCATCCTCATCATCACCATCATCACCATGATAATCACACTGAATCCTCATCCTCATCATCCTCACCCTCATCATCATACTCATCATCATCATCATTACTATCACCATCATCACCATCATCAGCAGCATAGTCACCATCATCATCAGCAGCATCATCATAATCTTCATCAGCGGCATTAACAGCATCAGCAGATTCATCAGCATCGTCGTCATCCCGCTCCTTCCCATGTGCAACGCAAGTCTGTCGGCACCCACACGCGGAACCATCCTGACCGCGGCGTCAAGCGCGAGCAACGTGCGGCAGCCCTCCCCGTCCTCCTCATCCTCGTAGTCCCGCCCCTCCTCGCCTCTCTCCTTCTTGTGCTGCTGCTGCTCCTCCTCCTCCTCCTCCTCCTCCTCCTCCTCCTCCTCCTCCTCCTCCTCCGCGAGCTTGGCCCGTGCCGCCTACAGCACACGTTGCCCCAAACATCAACGGCCGTCGCCGCTTGGCAGGCGACCTCTGCCTCGAGCGGGCCGCGCCCGCGGCCACGCAGGCGGCGAAGCCGGGCCAGGATGGACGAGCACTGTTGCTGGTGCTCGCCCCAACTCCTTGCTTGAGGAGGGGGCGGGCCTCCTCACAAGGCTTCTGAAAAGGTTCATCAGCCTTCCCCGAAAGCACAGGGAACCTCCCCAAAGGCCGGAGGGCTCCTGAGAAGCCACGCCGCACTCTGAGAAGGCCTTCTTCTTCTCATGCCCCCCTGGGCGCGCCGCCGGGTTCAGTTTTCGGGTCACAACTCGGCTCTCCGGCGGCAGTTCGGCACAATGCGGGCACCCCTGGAATGCCCTCTGCGAGGCGCAGCTGCTGGCAAGCATCCCGAGGCAGTCAAACCGCTGAGAACTGACGAAAACGTCAGACAAAACCTCGAACCTCGAACCCGAAACTTCCCCCCTCGCTCGCCGCCGATTTGCGTCCCCACTCCGATGGCACCGCTTCGTCTGCACGCAAGACTGGCCCTGGGCAGGAGTGGCCTTTGGTGCGCGCATCTGGGGGTGCGCGGGGCTGGGGGAGGGGGCGGCAAGCCCGAGCGCTCGAGCCGCTGCTGGCGCACCGCAGCCAGCGGTCGGGGGACCCTCCAGCGGGCAGGCGAGTTCTCGCCCCCACTCCCCCAGACCCGCCCGAAAAGTTGCGCCGCTCAGGAACCGGGAGGGGGGGGGAACTCGGGGATGCAGCCCCAGGGGGCTGACCAGACGCACCCCAGATCGAGGACGGACGCCCCCCCCCGTCGTAGGTCCCCATGCAAGAGAGGGCCCCAAATGGCAGATCCGCTCAAAATCAATCCCGGGACCCCTCCCTGGGTCCACCTGGTGCAATTTCTCACTCCGGCTCGAACGGCCCCGGGGCCTGAGAGCGGTTGCCGAACAGCCAAAAGCTCCCCGAACACAGCATCTCGCGCTCGAACCCCGCCCCGCGGCGCGCACGAGGGGGGCAGGCGGAGGGGGGAAGGCTTCGTCGAAGCAGGGGCGCCTCTGAGACGCCGCCCCCCCTCCTCCCTGCCCTTGAGATCCGACGTGGCAAAAACAAAGACGCAACATCGCGGAAAAACGCGACCGGAGACCCGGACCCCTCTTTCTGCGTCACTGTTCGAGCCGGATCGCCCTGTGAGGGCCCCGGGGGCCCGAAACCGAGCGAAAACGCGCTTTTTGGTGGAAGCATTGCAGCGCCAGAATCTCATGGACCCCCCTTCTGAGCGTGGCCGACAGCCGGCTCCAAAATCGAAGAAGAAAGAACGCCACAAACAGAAACTCTTGGCGCTCCGCGTGGAGTTCTTGGCTCTGCGCTGGACCCTCCTCTCTGGCGCGCGGAGCGCGCCAGGGGCGGCGCCCCAGGCGCCGTCGGGCGTGCCCAGCGCAGATCCAAGAAATCCGCGCGGAGCGCTTATGCTTACAGTGGAGGCCAGTCCACAAGAGACCTTCCACAAGAGGACCAAACCCTGAGATCCCAGGGCGCCCACTGACTTTTGGGTGTGGGAGCATCGCGCTCCCCATGGCAAAACGACCGAAACCCAAGACGCCCAGGGCACCCTGGAGGCAAGCAGGCTGTTTCTTGGCAGGGGTAACAAACTGTACGGCTTTTTCTCTTCTTCGACAGAGGCCTCGCCGCGTCGACTAGACGTAAGCGTGACCTTTCGCAGGAGTGACCTCTGGTGCGGGCACAGATGGGCCCCCAGATGGCTCAAAAACGAAGCAGCTGCAGCTGCTTGCGCGCCCAGGTGTGGTACCCCTCCGGCCCCCAAGAAGCCGCGCACCAAAGGTCACTCTTGCCCAGGGCCACTCTTGCGTGTATCGGCGGTGGACAAACCTCCCTTTAGGAAACCTCCCCTTGGTGAACACGACCCCGGACCGAAACCGACGGACCTGGACCTGCAAAAATGACGGCCGCGACGCCCTCTCGTGACCCGCAAACGGCCGATTCGCTGATCGACGTGCCAGGGTAGGAGGTCTATCTACCTCCGAGCATCCCAGACCTCCGACGTCGTGATTATTTCACAACGTCGACCCCCAGAGGTCTGGACCCCTTCCCCGGGACCGGTTCTTCCTCCTGAGTCGTTTTCTGACGGCCCCGAAGCCCGGTGAGGGCCCCCGAGGCCGAAAATAGCGAAAAACCTCCCGTCGTGATTTTGTCACGACGCGAGGAGGTCTGGGATAGCAGGCGTGCCTCGCCACGGCGGCCGACCGGCCGCCCGGCCCCCCGGCGCCCCGCCTGCTCGAAGTGGGCCACGACGCCCGGGCCGCGGGCGGCCTCCGCGGGCTCGCCGTCCTGGGCGGGGCGCCGCCCGCCCCCCTCGCGTCCGCCGCGGCCGCCCGCCCGCCGCGCCCGGCCCCCCCGCGGGGCCCCGCGAGGCCCCGGCGTGTCGCCGCGCCTCGGCGGCGCGCGAGAGGGGGGCAGCAGCAGGAGCTCGGGCAGCGAAGCAGCCCGTCCGGTCGCCGCCGATCGGCCCCCGCCTGGCCGTCGGCCGTGCGGCCAGCGGGGGCGGCGCTGTGGGAGGAAGCTCCCGGCTGCTTGCTCCAGGCGAGGGGCCGGCGGCGCCTGGCACGCGGCCGCCCTCCGCGTGGCCGGGCGCGCGTGCCCGAGGGGCCGCCAGTGGCAGGCCGCCAGGGCCCCGAGGGAGAGCCCATGGCGTGCTCGCGTCGCGCAGGAGTCGGGGCTGGCAGGTTCTGGGCCATGTCTTCGGCCTCGAGGGGGGGCCCTCGGCCGGGCCTCGGGGCCGGCGATAAAAAAACGGCGCGGGACGAAGAACGGGTCCCGGGGAAAGGGTCGGGACTTCCAGGGACCCCGTCCTGAAAAGATCAGGACGTCGCATGTCTGGGCTGAGATCCTGGCGTTGCGATTTCTTGGCGGCGATCGAAGGCAGAAATGGGAAGGAAAAGGCATTCTCAGAAGGCGGCGGGACTTCTCAGAAACCCTCGCGCCTTCTGCGAAATTTTATCATGTCTTCGGGCAAGGCTCAGGAAACTTCTCAGAAGGCTGGGAAACTTTCGAGCCTTCTGAGAAGCCCTTCTCCTTCTGACGTCGCTGCCAATTTGTCTCACAACTGGCGTTTGCGCCCAGCTTCGGGCGCCGTGGACCTTGCAGCCCGATCCGGCTCGAAGAGCGATGCAAAAGGATGGTGTCCAGGGCTCTGGGCATGATTTTCTACGATGCTGCCAACGCTTCGTGGCCCCACAGCCAACTCCAAACGAGGCGGCCGCGACGCGCCAAATGCGTGTCGAAAATCGCTGTCCAAAGCTGTCCGGCGAACGTGGCCGAAACTCGGGCCAACGATTCGGGCAAGGAGGAGGAGGAGAAGAGGAGGAGGGGGAGGAGAAGGAGGAGAGGGCAAGGAGAGGAGGAGGAGGAGGAGGAGGAGCAAGGAGGACGATGCTGCCATTTTTTCGCCCCGTCGGATCTCAGGGGGTCGAGGCATCCATCGGGCACGGCCGAACCGACCCCCGGCAAACCATCGCCTTGTGTGACGTCATCCTCGCCTTTCGGGCCCCGCTCCGGCCGCATACACGCGTCTTGGGGCAAGGGCGAGGGCGACGTCACGGAAGGTAGGGATCGGTGAGGCCGCCCCTGAATCCAGGCTTCGGGGCTCGCCGGAGGGATCCCCTGAGATCCGGGCGTTGCAACTCTTCCACAAGAAGGGCGTTTTCGCCCAGTTTCGGGCCCCGGGGCCCTCACAGATCAATCCGGCTCGGATAATGGCGCAGGGAAGATGGGATTTGGGGCTCTGGACGTGATTGTTTAGGATGCTGTATTTTTTTGCAGCGTCGATTCTCAGGGTCAGCCATCATGGTATCAGCAAATGAGACCGAATCGAAACGTGCACCGGAGCGGACTGCCACCGGCACGGAATCGAAATCGAATTTTGAGCAGGGACCGACCGTCCCAGCATTCCTATAGGCCTACCTAAGAATGCCCTAATAACAAAACAATGTTCAAGTCTCAGCCAGACATGTTATTCTAAGAAAAAATCGCGCAGACCACAAAAGGTTCTTAGAGCATTCTTTGGTGGGGCTACAGGCAAGCCCGGACGCTTCGCCACTGCTCGAAAATCGGATCGGCTGCGACAGGACGCACCACGCATTGCAAGCGTCGGGCCGCACCCGACCTCGGAGATATCAGCATCCGAGTCGGATCGGGCCGAGCGCAATCGGTGTCGGATCGCGTCGATGGGATCGAAATGGACCGCAAGGGACGAGGCATCGACGAGGGCCGGGGCTGGGGAGGCTTCAGGTTGCGCACAGACAGCCCCCCCAGGTAGTCCCAGCGGGCCCCGACAGGCCCCTCGAGCAGTCCCGGTGGGGCTCCGACGGCGCACCTGGGGCGCTCGGCACGCGCATGCTGAGACCGCCCCAGACAACAGTCCGTGCTGACATGAAGAACGGAAGCTGTTCTGGGCCTCGGCCACGACCTGGTTCCGCGGTGTGAATTTCAGGAACGGTCCGAGAAAACCCGAGCCCCTCCGGAGCCCAGAGCGGTCCTTACTTCAGCGCCTTGACTCTCGACTGTACCCTGGGGGCCCGTCGAGGCCAACCGGGACTGCCTGGAGGGGGCTGCTGAGGCCAGCCGGCCCGTGCGCAACCCGAAACCTCACACGTTCCAGGGACTCTTGGAGTATCTGTCGGCCCTCGTTCCGGCAGCCCGTGTGAAGCCATAGGGGATTTCACTAAGGAGTCTTGGGGCAAATCTTGGAACCCTTGGGCCGCCTCAGCATCAAGGCCTCCTGCTTGGATGCGGCCGGCGGGTCTGAAATGGAGGGGTCTCGAGAAAAGCTATCAGGAGAAGGGGATACGGTAAAAATATTTCAAAAATCGCCCCCCAGACCCCTCCCGGGGTCCACCTGCTTCACCCCGGATCCGTTTGGTCCTGGGGCCCGAAAAGGTCCCCTGTGTTCGATGGTCCTGGGGCCCGAAAAGGGCCCCCAGGGGCGAGAAAGGCGAATACCAGTCTCGAACCTAGAACCTCGAACCTTTTCCCACCCTTCCTGCTGGCCGGAACCAGTGCTGGGCCACCTCAGAGACCCAGCCAGCTCCAACTTCCTGCTCCTCTGACCCTTCACCCTCTAACCCTCGAACCCGCCCCTGACGACGAAGGAACAGTGAAACCACTCGATCGAGATTGGGATCTGAGGGTCCAGAAATACACTGAAACTTACGATCAAGAAAACCATCCACCTAAGAAAACAAACTCTGCATATCTCGTTTCCTTACAATTATCAGTGGTCTAGGTCTGCACCAAAGGGAGGGCGAGACGAAGCTTGAAGTCTAAGAAACTCCCAACAGTCTCCGTTGGAATTCAGACTCCCATAGGTCCGCCAAGAGGACTGACTCAGACTCTGATCTGGACGCTGGCGCTTTCCTGCCACATCTTATGGGCCCAGAGACGCGACGTCCTGAATTTTCAATACGGGCTCTCTGAGAGTCCTGGCCCTTTCCCTGGGACCGGATTTTCACCCTGAGCCGTTCTTGGACGGTCCTGAGCCCCAGCGCGGGCCCCCCGAGGCAGAACGTGGCCAAAAACACCCCGTCCTGACTTTCTTCACGACGCGATCATGCCTGGGGGTGTGCCTGCTTCCAACGGCCCGTGGGCAAGTAGCCCCCCGCCCTCGCCGCGGCCCGCGGCTCCTCGAGGCGCCGCCAGTCCCGCGTGACCAGCTCCACGCGCCCGGGGGGCGACGACAGCCTGCGTTTGAGTCGGGCATGCCCCTCTACAGGCGGAACACTCCATAGCACTTCAAAAAAAGCCTGGGGACGATTCGTCCATCATGTTTGCCTCGACTGAGCTTCGAATGTTTATTATCTTTCATATATCTTGCAAAGACCGCCTGTATTGAGCAGGGACCGACCGTCCCGGCATTCCTATAGTCCTACCACGCGAAATGTTCTTAGAACCTAAAAATGTTCTAAGAACAAAAACAATGTTCTTAGAACACAAACCCGATGTGTTCAACCAAGACAGTCTCAGCCAGAAATGTTCTAGGAAGACTTCGTGGAAACCACAAAAGGTTCTTAGAACATTGTTTGGTAGGGCTACAGGCGAGCCAGGACGCTTCGCCACTGCTCGACTGTAGGAGGACATGCCCGACCCAAGCCTGCGCTCGAGGGCGCAGGCGGCGGCGCGGCCCGCCCCCCCAGCGGCGGGGCGGCGGCGCGAGGCGCGGTGCCCAGAGACCCGGGCGCTGCGGTCTCGCCGAAAAGCGGACGCGTGCGCCCGGCTTCGCACACCGCGGGCCGCTGGTACACTGAAGTCGGGCTTGTCCCCCTACAGGGGGATTTTCGACGAAAAATAAAACATACTCCAAAAACGACCTAACAGAATATCCCAAGAATAGTTTGGGGATTACCTTTGGCATCTTTTCTGACCCTTGCGGGGTATGTTGGGGGGATTGTTCATTTTTCGACGAAAACCCCCCTGTAGGGGGACAGGCCCGACTTAATAGTTCAGGTCGGTCCGGCTCGACAACTGGCGCAGGAAGTCGGGCGGGTGGCATCATGCGGGGTGGTCTGAAGGGGGGGGGGGTGAAGAAAGGGGCCCTAAAAGGGCCCTTGAGGGCACCCCTTGGGCACCAACCGGCAAGATGGGTTCCAGGGCCCTGGTTGCACTTTGCGCAACGTCATACCGTACCTCAGGGCGTGAGAACGTCACGAGCGGACGGCCGCGTCCGTCTGGTAGCGTTGCCACCTTGCGGTAGTCACATGCCCATGTTGGGGCGGACACGCTTTGCGACCCCTCTCGGGAGCCCTCGGGGGGAGCCCACGGGAGCCCAACGGGGCTGGTGTGACCCCTGTGTTGGACAGTGGCCCAACGGGGCTGGGATGGTGTGACCCCGTGTTGGCCGTGACCGCCGCTGCAGTACCCAGAGCCCTTGCGACGCCCACAAAACGGACGGCAGCATATCCGTATTCGCGCCCTCGCGGTCTGGACTCCGGGGCACGATCCAGCGGATACGCGGTCGCACGGATACGTTCCGCGAGAGGCATCCGCGGAAAAACGACCTGTATCCTCGGGGTCGCGGCCCAAGCGTCCGGCCCGCGAGGCCGCGGATACGGACATGTTTTCCGCCCACGGGTACGGGCGCGGGGTGCGAGGGAGTCGAGGCGAAGCCAGGACAGGGGCAAAATCGGATGGGGATTCAAATCGGTGATCTCTGAGTGCTGACGGTTCTGGAGGATGTGTCGGGCGCTGCGGCCGTTTCAGAGCGTTCCAAGACGCTCTGAAAGCGTTCCTGAACGGGCACGGGGCACGAGCGAGTCGAGGCGACCCTGACATGGGACACAGAAGGACTCACGATCATCGCGCTACCATAACCAAGGTCGGGCATGTCCTCCTACAGGCGGATTGTGGAGGAAAAACTTTAAAATAGTCTAACAATGTTTTTTGAAAGCAACTTATCAGAAATAGTCATAATACCATCGACTGACGATTTTTCCACTATTTTAAAATATTTCTCCTGTAGAGGGACATGCCCGCCGTGACCCTACAGATCAGCCTCGACTGTAACCTCCAGTCTGCGCGCGGCCAGGAGAAGGGCGGGTGGCGCCGCTCGGAGCAGTCAAGCCTCGACCACGAACAGGCTCCTCGACCTGGATCTGAGGAACGGCCCCAGAGCCAGAGCCCATCCGGAGCCCCCGGTGGCCCTTCTTTCAGCCTCGTGACTCTTTGAGGCCTCCTAGGTGGGGTCGGAGGATCGCGCCGCATCCCCGATACGTCGGCGATGCATCGGCGATGCATCAGCGACGTCGGCGATGCGTCGGCGACGTCGGCGTGGAGAAAATCGGGCTCAACATCGAGCTGCATCGTCGATGCGTCGGCGATACGACGCGATCCTCCGACCCCATCTACTCCGACCACATCTGGAAGGCCTAGAACTGTATCTTTCCCCACACAACTTTTGAAAATGGCGAGGGGGAGCCACTGCCCTAGAAAGGCCCACCTCGATCGGGGAGCCCGCAGCCGGGAGAGAAAACATCGCGCGGCGTGCCGAAGAGCGGGCGCAGCGGCGCAGGGCGCCTCGGAGCGGGAGCAGGAGACCGCTTCATTGTGTTTTGCTCGGCGATCGCCCCGATTCTCTGGTGATGTGTGGAGCGACAGGAAACGTAGGACCACCACTACCACGACCTGGTGGGTGGAGGCAGAGGGTGGTCAGGGGTGGTGGTGGTGGTGGTGGTGGTGGTGGTGGTGGTGGTGGTGGTGGTGGTGGTGGTGGTGGTGGTGGTGGTGGTGGTGGTAGTGGTGGTGGTGGTGGTGGTGGTGGTGGTGGTAGCTGTGGTGGTGGTGGTGGTGGTGGTGGTGGTGGTGGTGGTGGTGGTGGTGGTGGTGGTGGATATCGTTTCGGGCGCTCTGGCGGGACATCGTGCACCCTGGCAGCTTGCAGATCAGCTCATCTTGAATCCCCCCAGGTGGTGGTGGTGGTCGTGATGGTGGTGGTCGTGGTGGTGCGGTTCCTGCTTCCATGGGTGTGGGGTAATGGCGGCGAATAGCGATTTCTGGGCGTCGAGGGCGCGGTGCATGTAGAAATTGGAATGAGCTGTGAGAAAGTTCCGCGCGAGAGTGCTCTTTGGGATAAGTTGTGGGCACTACTGAGATCGCATCTTCATTTCTGCGATCACCGAGGTTGTCTGCTGAGGACGGGTGGGGTGAGGGGAAAGTGACGGCCGATCACCTGCCTTTCGTCTTGGGCAGCCCCACGCACGGTCGGGAACTTTTGCTGAGCGTGTCGCCGCGGCGGCCCCCGCGACACGCTGCATACATGCCTCTGCGAGCGGGTGGCGTGTCGCTCCGCCCCGAGGCGCGGGAGGCTCGGGACGTTGGCGCTCGGGGGCCGGGAAGCGGATAGAGCGTGTCGCGCCAAAGCGCGCCGGGCCAGAGCCGGCGGAATGACACGCTACTCCAGATTTCGTAATCAAGGGAGGGGGGTCTCATTTCGGGGGGGGGCTCTTCCAGGCCATCTTGGAGGGCCTGGGGTGGTCTGGGGGCGATGCTTTGGAGGGTTCTCCCACGAGGGGGGGCCTGACATGGCTCGTCTTGGAGGGTCCAGACCCCCTCTGTTTTATTACGAAATCTAGAGTCTCCAGACGCTCCCGGCCGGAACCATGCCCGCGCGCAGCAGCGCTGCGTACCCACTCGGACCTGCGCGACCGACAAGGGCAGGTCATCCAGGGGGCAGGGGGAAGGGGGGAACAGGATATCTCGTGTTCCGCCTCGTTTTGGCAGGAAGGGAGGATAGAGAAGCAATGACCTTGGCAAGCGGACCCTCGGGCCCGACGACCCAGGTGATCGCCGGACCTCGAGAAAAAATAGTCTCCTGCAGGCGGCCGAGCGCCAGGGGGGGGGCGGAAGGAGGGCCCCAGATGTTGGTCCCCCCGGAGGCCCTCAGAATCGCCAACATGGGCCCAACACCTTCGTAAAACCAGTGACTTGGGCCATCTCGCCGAGGCCATCTTGGACGCTCGAGCGCCCGGGCCGCTCGGCCCAGCTCCCCAGAGGCCCCGCCAAGGGAAGGGGGGCGGCCGCGTCCCCGCGGGACACTGCGGCGCCGCGTGCCGCGCGGCCGCGGCGCCGGCCCACATCCCGGAGAGATCCGGGCGTCTCAGACTTGTCGAGCAGGGCGTCTTTGTGCACAGTCGTGGCGGGGGGCCCTCACACGTCGGCTCTCGGCTCGAAAATGGCGTAGAACTATGGGATCCGGAGCTCCAGCTGAGATTCCTCACGATGCCTCAACTTGTTCGAGACGTCGAGCTTCTCAGGGATCGCCGACGATACGATTCTTTTGTGCCAGCTCGTCGTTTTTCTCGTCGATCTCGGCCGGCGCCACGGAAGCGGGTCAAGACCTCTTGGGCCGCGGATGGGCCAGAGCACACCGTCCCAGACATGCGACGTCCTGTTTTTTTCGATGCGGGGTCCCTGGGAGTCCCGACCCTTTGCCCGGGACCGGCTTTCCACCCTGAGTCGTACTTTGGACGGTCCCGAGGCCCGGCGAGGGCCCCCCGAGGCCGCAATTGGCGAAATTCCTCTCGTCCTGATTCTTCTACGACGCGATCATGTCTGGGAACACACCGTCGGACGTCAAGGGAACGTCGGCGTCGTCGTCAACGTCATCGTTCCGGAGAATCTAAAGGGGCCCCAGGACACACAAATAAATACACACAAATAAAGTTATTCCCCATATTTTCCCATATGTTTAGGGCTTTCGTCTTCCCCCCCACTTCCCATATTTTGCAATTTTTTCGGGGGAATCGAGGATTAACTGTGTCTGTGAATTTTTCCCTCCTGAGAATCATGGGCAGGGGGGGGGGCGCGACTGGCGGTCCTCGTGGCCCCACGGCGGGGCGCGGCCGGAGCAGCCCAGCCAGGGCAGGCGTGGGGACAAAACTCCGCGGGCGAGAGGGCCCTCGGCGAGGCAGTGGCGGGAGGCGGAGGCGGAGGAGGGCGGGGGAAGAGGCGCCAGGCTCCTCTGATCTAGGTCCGCGCAGCGTCACAATATAAAGAGGGCGGGAGGGAGACGGAGGAGGGAGGGGAGAGAGGCCTGCGGAGAGGCAACGGGCGGAGGGGGAGCCCGGAGGACGGGAGGAAACGGCGGGATAGGAGGCCGAGTGCGGCAGGCGGAGGAGGGGAAGCGCGATGGTCATCAGGAGCATGCCGGAGCAGGCGGCCGAGAAGCAGGAGCACGAGGAGGAGGACGAGGAGCCGGAGAAGGAAGGGAGGATGGGCGAGGAGAAGAGGCAACAGAAAGACGAGAAGGATGAGCAGAATACGCCGACGACGACGACGCCCGGCGACGACGCCCGACGGCGACGGCGACGGCGACGGCGACGACGACGACGACGACGACGACGACGACGATATGACGACCGACGACCGACGACCTCCAGCGGTCCCTGCCCTCCGAAGACCCCAGAGACCTTCGGAGGCCCCTGGAGACCCCAAGCCCCCAAGAGGGCCCGAAAACGTCCAGACCTCGATCCTCGGACATCCTCGATCCTCGACGACGACGACGACGTGCGACGAATGACGATCGACAGCGACAAGCGACGAATGACGACGACGACGACGACGACGACAACGACCGACGATCTACGACCAACGCCAAACGACTACCGACGACAGACGACGACGACGACGACGACGACGACGACGACCGACTGACCGACCAACCGACCGACCGACCGACGGCTACGACGGAGGACGACGAAGGACGACGACGAGCGACGACGACGTACCGGCACGACGACGAATGACGACGACGACGACGACGCACAGCGCCAGACAGCGAAAGACGACGACGAAGACATACTTTGACGACAACGACAACGACGACGACGAAGACGACGACGACGACGACGACGACGACGACGACGACGACGACGACGACGACGACGACGACGACGACGACGACGACGACGACGATCGTCGACCACCGGAGGCGGCGCCGAAAGGCGCGCGCCCTTTCCCCCCCCCTCCCCCCGCTGCACACGCCTGGCGGCGGCGCGGGCCCGCACGTCGCCGGCGGTGCGCGCGCCCGCGAAGTCGCTCTCGACCAGCGGGTGGCCTCGCCGGGGGGGGGGGGGGGCAGCGTCCAACGCACACCCCCAGGGGAACGAAAAGTGCCTGACATAAACATAAACACTCGGAGGTCCGCGTGGACTTCTCGGATCGGCGCTGGGGCCCCCGGCGGCGCCTCCGGCGCCGCCCCTGGCGCGCTCCGCGCGCCAAGGAGGGGGGTCCAGCGCCGATCCGAGAAATCCGCGCGGACCTCCGAGTTTTTATGTTTATGTTTCTTTTTGTTCCCCTTACCCCCTCGAGCAAGGAACAAATCACGACGGCAAATCCCACCAGCCCTCTGGGCGCAGGTGGTCTAGGGCGTTTCCTAACCTCCTGTCTTTCCCTGCTTGGGAGGTTTACCTCCCCCCCCCTCCATGCGTTTGGACGGGGGGGCAGCGTCCAACGCACACCCTCGAGCAATGACAAAAATCACGACGGCAAATGTTTCACTGTTTTCGGCCTCCGGGGAGCCCTCGCCGGGCCTCGGGGCCGTCCAGATTTGAGACTCGGGGTGAAGAGCCCGCCCAGGGATCATGAAACAATCATGACGTCGGGGGTCGGGGAACGCGGGGGGGCCTCGCGGTGAGGGGGCAGCGACCAGCGCGGGGGGGCCTCGCGGGGAGGGGGCGACGGCCAACGCGGGGGAGGGTGGCCTCGCGTGGCGACCAACGCGGAGGTGCCTCGCGTGGAGGGGGCAGCGTTCAACGCGGGGGGGCCTCGCGAGGAGGGGGCAGCGTTCAACGCGGGGGGGGCCTCGCGGGGAGGGGGCAGCGTCTAACGCGGGGAGCCTCGCGGGGAGGGGGCAGCGACTAACCCGGGGGGGGGGGGGCATACCGATTGATCCCAGGGCGAACCGCCAACGGCTATTCTGGTGCAAACTACCTCCACACGACGGCAATCTCCTACCTCGTTCAAAGCTTTTCCAAATAAGAATGGCGAGCCTCCCCTGGTACTTCCGTGGCCGCGGGTCGTGCCACGCGGCGATCGGGGACACTGACCGCGTGCTGGCGATCGCTGATGCTGACATCTTGACTACAGCCACGTCGGTAAGGCGGCGCAGAGCAGCATCCACACCGAGATCAAGACGCTCCTCGACCGCAAGGCCTTGCTCCAGTCGGCCTCGCTCGCACGAGGGTCTCAGAGGCAAAGAAGGGCAAGGAGAAGATGGCACAGCACGAGTGCATCCACATCATCGAGGACCAGCGTGCAACGGGCAGATCGGCACCAAGAGCTTGGACACGATTACGGTTCCCAGCGAGAAGAACTACAACGAGATGCAGCCCCGAGTGGAAGGAGGATGACCCAAGCACCTGCGTTCACTACGGACGGCAGCAGAAAGATCCCAGCCTCTGGGTGGACTACAAGAAGAAAGCAAAGAACAGTTCCGTCGAGATCATCACCAAGGTCCCCTGCTTGGAGAAGAACCTACAGCAGTTTTACACCACATGCAGCGGAGGAGGCACGAGCCCAAGGACGAGCGCTGGACCAGCAGAAGAGACACTCCACGAAGCAGCTGCAGCCCAAGTGGTCAGAACGACCGACTTGCTTACTTGTCTCTTTGCCTCTTGCTCCAACGTGATGGCCTGCACCACAGGCTATAGAGCGAGCGCCGACAGGGACAGCGCCCGGCACCCCCTCCGCTCGCGGCCACAGCCTCGGCTGGGGGGTCGACCCCTTGGGAGTGTGTGCTCTAAAGCTCTAGCCTCAGGGCTCGCATCTTGGGGCAAGCGTGGGCGGGGGGGCCTAAAACAGCATCCGACGAGGGGAAAAGACGAGCAGCCAGCAAAACGTTATGCAAGGTAATGGTTACGTTTACATTCGGGACCGGAGCATACTGACCACTGCCACACCCACCACCCGATGTGATTAGAGGCACCGTGTCAGCGCAGCAGTATTATAGTACTTAGGACGCAGTCCTGTACGAGGGGTGGGGGGGGAGGAGGAGGGGGAGAGAGAGAGAGAGAAGGGAGAGAGAGCCTTCCAACACATATTTTCTCGAGGACGCCCCGAACGAAACGGCAGAAACAAAGGGAGCCTATCCAGACAAAAACGGGAAGCGCCGCTTCTCTGAATTTGCGTGCGCGCCCGCACGGGTTTGCACACAACGCGGGTACGCATGCGGCATCGCTGGGCTTCCTTGAATACCCAGATGGGTACCCGTAGTATATTGTGTTTAGTGGTTGCCTGCGGATGCTTTGGTTAAGTGCTGCGCGTGGCATCGGTTCGTGTGTGTGTGTGGCTGCGTGTGAGTGTGATTACGTGTGTGGTGTGTGTGTGTGTGTGCGTGCGTGCGTGCGTGCGTGTGTGTGTGTATGTGTGTGTGCGTGTGAATGTGTGTATATGTGTGTGTGTGCATGTGCATGTGCATGTGCATGTGTGTGCATGTGCATGTGCATGCGCATGTGCATGTGCATGTGCATGTGCATGTGGGTGTGCGTGTGCATGTGTGTGCATGCGTGCGCGTGTGTGCATGTGTGTGCCTGTGTGTGCGGCTGTTTGTGTGTGTGTGCGCGTGCGTGCGCGCAGGTGCAGGGTGTGTTCCGACGGGCGGGAGACTGCGGCGTACGGCATGCGTGCGAGGCGTGTACCAGGCGGGCGGGAGTGGGGCGGTGTACTGAGTGCGTACGGGGTGTGTGCCTGGCGGGCGGGCGGGGAAGGGTGCACCGTACGCGTAAGGTGTGCGTGCGTGCCTGATGCCGATGAGGACGGTGCTGCAGCTGATGATGATGATGACGATGATGGTGCTGGTTACGGTGACGATGACGATGATGACGATGAGGAGGATTACGATGCTGATGATGGTGATGACGATCACGATCACGATGACGATGACGAGACGACGGGGATGAGGATGATGACGATGACCACGAAGATGATTCTGAAGATGATGACGCTGGTGATGATGATGACGCTGATGATGATGATGATGATGATGCTTATGATGATGATGATGATGATGATGATGATGATGATGATGATGATGACGACGACGATGGTTGTGACGATGAGTATGATATGTATCTTGCGGCGGTCTTGGGCGCTCTTGGGGCCCTCTGGGAAGCCTTTAGGGGCTGAGGAGGGCCGTTTCCAGCCCTTCCTATAGTGATTCCAAGACGATGCTGTTTCAGAGATCCCTCCGAGATCGATGTTTTGGAGGATGTCTCGAACGAGACGGCCGTTTTGGTTGGTTCAGGGTCCCCTTTTCTGAAGTCGCTGATTAGAGGATGTCTCTGTCGAAACGGCTATTTCTGAGTGCTCGAGCGATTTCGCCAGCAATCTCAGCATCTCTTTTGTTTAGAGGATGTCCTAAACGAGAGGCTTCATTTTCAATATACAAAGTCTTACACACGGCTCTTCCAACACCTTATTTTTGGAGGATGTCTCAAGCGAAATGCGGATATCTCAAATTCGCTAAACAGCTGAACACCTCTATAGCCTCTTTTTCAACAGACAACGCCTACAAACAGCCCCTCTTCTCTTTTTCGAGGACACCCCGAACGAAACAGCCGAAACAGAGGAACTCGGCCGAGCGGAAAACGTTTTATGATCCCGATCCGGTTGTCCCTCGCGTCATACTTCTTGATCCGTCCCCGGTTAGCATGGCCTAGCAAACTCTCAACGCCTTCTCTTTCCGAGAAGGCGGTTCCCGTAATCCGCCGGGCGGAAAAATGTTTGCCATCCCGATCAAATTGTCCCTCGTGTCTCCTCTGTAGTAGTCCTCCAAGAAGGCGCTTCCCTGTATCCCCCCAGAGAGAAAAAATGCGATCCCGATCCAATTGTCCCTCGCGTCTTGCTCGTTTTTTGTTTATGAGCTCCAGGTAAACATGACCTAACAAACTACCAACACTTTCTCGTTCCGAGAAGGCGCTTCCCGTAATCTGCTAAACCGGTCCCCCGTGCAGCCCGCCACGGATGTTATAGTTTCAGCCAGAACGTCCAGCTCGCTCCTCGTTCCTCGAAGACGTTCCCCGTCATCCGCAAGCTGGGTCCCCGTACGGCCTGCCACGGTATAGTAAGAATGATGTTGAACAAAGTTTCGAACATTCCACCGTCTCAATTCAGGACGTCCAACTCGATTCTCGCTCCTCGAAGACGCTTCCAGTCGTCCGCTAAGCCAGTTCCCCTTGCGGCCCGCCATGGTATGCTAAGAAGAATTGTTCCCCAATCAGTGCTTGCAAAGCGGGAATCCTAGCGGATCTTGAGGGGCTTGGCGAAAGCAAACGGCCGATTTCGGTTGGCCGCCGGGTTCCCAAGTTCCCGGTTCACGGGTTCACGGGTTCCCAAATGCTGGCTCTGGGCCGATGTCGGCGGGCGACGGGGTTCCCGGGTTTCCGGGTTCCCAGGTTCCTGGTTGATCTCCCTATCGGTCGGTCTCACCATCGATCTCATCACCCACCTCTCTGTCGATCTCACAATCGATCTCACAATCGCTCTCACTCTAGATCGCACAAGCGATCTCACGATTGATGCCATTATCGATCTCACCGAATCGACGTCACTATCGGTCTCACGATCGACCTCAATATCGTCCTCACTATTGATCTCACGATCGGTCTCACGATCGATCTCACAATCGATCTCAATATCGAGCTGAATATTCACTTCGCGAATTGTCAAACCATCCGCTGATTAGGTTTTTCTCTGGTGTGAGTAAGCTTCTCTTTGTTTCCCAAATCCTCAATGTTCACAGAAAAAAAGCGTTACACTTTCAGCCAGAATGTCCAGCTCGCTTCTCGTTCCTCGAAGACGCTACCCGTCATCCGCCAAGTCGGTTCCCCGTGCGGCCCGCCACGGTACAGTAAGAAGAAGTGTTTTGACGAATTTAGGTATCTTGCAATTTCAGCCAAAACGTCCCGCTCGCTTCTCGATCCTCGAAGACGCTTCCCGTCACCTTCGGGCCAGACGCCGGGATACACGCGATGGGAGCATGAACTGTCGAAGTCCGCGCGGACTTCTTGGACTGGCGTTGGGCCACCCCTTCCTGGCTCACGGAGCGCGCCAAGGGTAGCGCTGGAGGCGCCTTCAGGGGGGCACTGCGCCGATTCAAGAATTCTGCACGGACCTCTTATGTATCTACTGATGTGTCTTCTTCTATTGTTTCGATGGAGCACAGCTCAGCATCGAGCATCGATACCACCTAGAGCTTGCAACAGCGCCATACTCGAGCGGGCAAGAGGTGAGGCTAGGAGGGGGAAGGAGCAGACAGATGGCACGGCGGCAGTCTGAACGGTCACCGTGAGGTGGCTGGGCATGGAACGGATATGTTGCTCACCTCTGCGATGGCGAATTCGCGCGGCAACGCAACTGGAAGCGCCAGTTACAGCCGGAAGAAGATGGCGAGACACAACCTGCCTGGCCGTCACAAGTTGCGCCCACTGTGTTCGCCCGAAGAATCCGACACCGTGCCTGGGGCACGTAGAAGAAAGCCCCAAGGCTCACAAAGATGAGAATGCTACCGACGATTGCAAGGCCCCCTACGGTCTGGACACCCGATGTGCCAAAATGTTCGGGCCCTCTTTGGCCAGCTGTGGTGGGGCCCGTGGCTTCCCCAGGGCCCCAAATTGTTCAAACACGGTACATCGCAAAACAAATCTTAACAGTTGTTCCCAACCATCCTGTGGTGACGGGTCCTCGTTGTGAAGAGACGGTCCCCGCGTTCCCTCCTCCCATCCTTCCTTCCTCCTCCCCTCCTCCCTCCTCTCTCATCATCGTCACCCCCCTCACTTTGGCACACCCCTCACACGTGGCCCCATAGGAGCTCCGCTGAAGGTCCCAGTGGCGCCGTTCGCATGCGTCCCCGCCACCCACTTCGGCGCGCCCCTCGCACGTTCCGTGGCTCCATATGAGCTCCGCTGAAGGTCCAAGTGGTGCCATTCGCATGCGTCCTCGCCACCCAATGTCGGCACACTCCTCACACGGTCCGTGGCCCCATGGGGAGCTCCACCGAAGGCCGCAGGGGGTGCGTCCGCATGCGCTCCAAGAACTCATTTCGGTACACCCCTCACACGGTCCGTGGCCCCATGGGGAGCTCCACCGAAGGCCGGAAGTGGTGCGTCCACATGTGTTCCAGGAACTCATGTCGGCACACCCCTCACACGGTCCGTGGCCCCATGGAGAGCTCCACCGAAGGCCCTAGAGGGTGTGTCCACACGCGTCCCAAACACTCATTTCGGCACACCCCTCACACGGTTCGTCTCATCTCCCTCGTGGTACTCGCAGCTGTATATGGTTGGGTTCTTCGCCAAGCTAATTTACATCAGAGGGTGCGCCAAGCCAGGTGCAGAGGATCGTTCCCATCAGAGACGACACACCGAAGGCTACTCGAAGGCCACTTGAGATCCCTGGAGACCCCCAGGGCACGGTTGCGGAATCAGCCGCAGGCAGCTAAATCATTTGGAGCTGCTTTTGGCAGCTGCGACATGTCATCATATAATTTTTCTGCAAAAAAATAATATGCTCAGAATGCAGTCTGGCTTTGCAGGAGGCGTGCTCACCAGAAACGCACCGCTGGATGGTCTGCGGGGGTCGCACACCCCAGTGCAATCGATCATGCTGTGCGGAACAAGTCGCCCTGACAAGTGCCGATGGGGACAGGCTGCCAGTTCCCTGGCTGCGAGACCTCGTAATAGAGGATGGTGAGAAAACTACCACTCGCAAGCAGTACAAACACGTGCCAGATGCTTTGGTGGAACTCGAGCTTGTCTGTTTTCCATGGCACAAGGCCTACTGTGTACAACAGTCCTCCAAGTACCATGCGGCCCCGTGCCCAGGGGGTAAAGACCGCCACGATGTTCTGCCACACGAGCACTACGCACCACCCCATGAGCAGAAAGCAAGGCACATGAAATGCAGGCCTGTCGAACCTCGAGCGAAACGCCTTGGCTGCAATGCTCACGAATGCCACTGCCCACACGAAGCAGAGTGTGTTTGGGCAACAAGCCAACGTCATGACTGGCGAGTAGGTGCCAGCAATCAACAACAATATCCCGCCGTGGTCTGCAAGCCGGAGCAGCCAGATGCAGTCACTCCACGCCAGTGTGTGGAAGATGGCGGAGCACCACAGCATTGCCAGCAGGCAGGCGCCGTAGACAGAGAGTGACACCGACACCTCCATGGACAGAGGGTGGTCTGAGGAACTGGTCAGCATACCACCGATGCCCAGGCTGCCCAGGACGAGGCCGACCACGTGCACCACCGCGTCGGCGGCGATCTCACGGCGGCTGTAGCCTCCGGCGGAAATCCTGGAGGGGCTCACTTTGCCGTCCGAGTACCACGGTATGCGCTCCCTCCAATACCTCCGCGCTACTGCATTCGCACGCCACGTCGGAAGGAGACCCGCGCGCATAAGATTTGCTGCAGAGGTAGCGCGGTCAGCACAGTTCTCCCTTGACGGCGGCTGATTATACGACCTCCGAAGGTGGAGCCAACGCCCGCTGACCAAAAGGAATTCAACCCAAACGGCTACGGAGGATGCCACTGGCAATGACGATAACTCCGCCTGCCATCAATCTGCACTGCACTGGAGGTGTTAAGTGAAAGGCACATCGAAGCAAAAGCAACACAACATGATAATACTGGAATAGCTGAAGAGATCGTCGGGAACTGTGGTGTGTGCAGGGTGCGTAGTTAGACAACACTTGCCTAACAACTAACGGTGTGTGCAGCGAGCGTCTTTAGACCGTGTTTGACCTCTGGGCCCGCTTTCGGGCTCTGGGGCCGTCCAAAAAATAGTCCAGAAAGAAACGCCATCCCCCCAGGAAGAGAACGGGACATCTGGAGACCCGTGTTGAAAAACGAATCTCTGGGGTAGGACGGAACGGACGCGGAGGAGGACGGGGGAAAGGAGAGGGAACAAGCAGGGCAGGGGGGTGGAAGAGGACGAGATGCAGGCAGAGTTGGGAGGCAAATTAAGTGGATCAGGGGGGAGGCAGTGGCGGGGAAGGAGGAGGAGGAGGAGGAGGAGGAGGAGGAGACGCAGGAAAAGGCATGGGGGGAGTGTGGGGGAAGGGGAAAGGAGCAAACATCAGGACGTCGGAGGTCCGGGAAAGGGAGGAGTGCTGACGTCTCCCGCATCTGCTGCGCCCCCCTCCAGGCAACCCCGAGACCGAGGGGGCCCCCGGAGCTCCGATTGGGGGGGCGTCCAGGGACCGGCCCATGGGGAAGGACGGGGAGAAGACACTCTCCCTCGAGGGGGGATCCTCCTCCTCCTCCTCCTCCTCCTCCTCCTCCTCCTCCTCCTCCATCGGGGGGACTGGCTCAGGGAGGGGGGGGGGGACGCCGATGCATCGGCGAGGGGCCCCCGGCAGCGGAGGCGCGCGCTCCTGGGCGGAGTGGGCTGTCGGGTCCAGGTCGGCGAGCCGATGGAAGGCGATTGGGGGTCGGTGCGCCCAACCCCCCCCCCCCCCCCCATTGAAGGGGCCCACAAACACACAAATAAATACACACAAATAAAATGATTCCCCATATTTTCCCATATTTTCTTAGTTTTTGTCTTCCCCCCCACTTCCCATATTTTCCCATATTTTCCTAGGGATCGACGATTAATTGTGTCTGTGTGTTTTTTTCCCTCCTGACCCATGCATGCCCCGTGATCCCTTCCCGTCCCCCTCCAGCTGCTCCTCGCCTTCGACCTCAGCCCCCCCCCCCCCCTGCCCCCCCTTCTCCCTCGCAGCCAAAACCAGGGAAACAAGGATGGGCATCCTTCCCAGGGGTAGGTGCCCTTGCATCCTTGCCTCCTCGGTCCGTCCTTGGCCACTTCCGTTGGTCGCGCACAGCTCGAAAAGCTTCGAAACGGCCTTTCAAGGCCATTGCATCCTGATCATGCATCCTTCTGATATGGGTCGACTGTACTGTCGACCGCATCCCGCAAACAGTCACCCAGCCGCGGCCTCCTACAGGCAGGTACAGCGGAGCAAACCACTGAACGATACGCAAGAGGCGGCGCGGCAATCTGCCAGCGCCTCAGCGCCTGTCGCAGCTTGCCCAGGGATGGTCCGAGGCATAAGACACGTTGGGGAGTGCGCTGGACGCCCGCCAAGGGCTGCATTCTCGTTTGGGAGACCTCCATTGGGTGGAACAGCACTGGGCCCAACAAGCAATCACCCTCCTTCGTTCTTCCCTGCCTCTGTCTTCTGCGCCAGCCCCCACCTGACCCTGGCGATGCATCTCGATCTGGCCTCGCTCTTTCCCCAGCTCTGTCCCCCTCATACAAATCCCATGCTCACCCTCCCTCATCTCCCCTCTCCTCCCCCCCACATCCCTTTCGCTCCTTCATCTCATCCCACTCGCCCTTCCCCCTCCCGAACTATCGTCTCCCTTATCCTCCGTCAGCTCCAAAGCATGCTACTGAGTATCTGCACTTCCCCTCCTCATTACCATCATCCTTCTGCTCGTCGCCACCTCCTCCTCCTATGCCGCCTTCTTCTCCTCCTCCTCCTCCTCCTCCTCCTCCTCCTCCTCCTCCTTCTCCCTGACCTCCTCCACCTTCTCTCCCTCAATTCCCCCATGACAAAGCGGTGGGAGAGGCTGGACCAAAAGGTCGCAACAACACAGTCAAGTCGTCCGGAATCTCGTTCATCGCCGGAATCACATCCTCGCGCCAACGTGTGATCGCTGTCCTCCCTGTGATCCACCTTCTTGCCCTCCCGTGCTCCTGCACCCTCCTCCTCCTCCTCCTCCGAGCCCACCACCCGAGGCTGCCCTTGTTCGTCCTAATCACGTCTCCCCTTTCCGCCTCCTCCTCCTCCTCCTCCTCCTCCTCCTCCTCCTCCTCCTCCTCCTCCTCCTCCTCTGTCCTCCTCCTGCTCCCCCTCCTCCCCCTCCCTCCACCTCCTCTGTCCTCCTCCTCCCCCTCCTCCCCCTCCTCCTCCTCCTCCTCCTTCTCATTATCCTTCTCCTCCTGCTCCTCCTGCTCCTCCTGCTCCTCCTCCTCCTCCTCCTCCTCCTCCTCCTCCTCCTCCTCACGTCTTGCGTTGCTGCCCGAACCTTCTCCACGGCACCCGGCCGCTCCTACCACCCCCCCGCCCGCAGCGCCCACACCCTGCCCGCAGACGTCTTGTCAGGCACTGGCAACAGAGCGCCCACAGACGCGTGGCGACGCTGCGCAAAAAACAAGCAGCACATCGTGGCGAGGGGCCCAAACCATATACGGTGCAGGTTTTAGGTAAGGATGCCTTCGATAGGGAACCCAGGGTCTCGCGACCGATGGGCGGCCAAACGCGGACCACCCACCTCGCCTTGAAACCAGGAATGCGCCAGGGTCTGGGCCCCTGGATGACGCTCCTTATCCAATGCCGCCGCCATACAGTTGCGAGTCCTGCAAGACAGATGAAACTAAAGGAGGGGGCGAACAAACGACTAATTGCGCCGGAAGCGACCCTCTCCGCAAAGGTAGCGCGCCGCAGGAAGGATGGAGCGCATGGCAGCGCGGATAGTTGGAGGCGGACGGATGACGAGGTCATTGTAGGGCGAGCGAAATGAGAGACGCGGACGCATGCAGACCCTGCCGCCTGGGCCTTCGGTGGAGCTCCCTATTGGGCCACGGAACGTTAGGGGCGTGTCGAAATGAGAGGCCCGAACGCATGCGAACGCTGCCACAAGGACCTTCGGTGGAGCTCCCCATGGGGCCACGGGAAGTTTGAGGGGCGTGCCGAAATGAGAGGCATGGACGCATACGAAAGGTGCCATTGGGGCCTTCAGTGGAGCTCCCTATGGAAATAAGACACGTGATAGGGGTGTGCCGAAATGAAATGCACGGACGCATGCGAGCACTGCCACTGCGGCCTTCGATGGAGCTCCCTATGGGGCCACGAAGCGCGTGAGGGGCGTGTCGAAAGCAAAAGCGCGCGCGCACGCGAACGCTGCTACTGGGGCATCTGGTGGAGTTCCCTATGAGGCCTCGACACGTGTGAGAGATGTGCCGATACGAAAGGCACGGGCGCATGCAAAACGCTGCCACTGAGGCCTTCGGTGGTGCTTCCTCTAGGTCCACGGCACGTGTGAGGGGTGCGCCAACATGAAAAGCACAGACGCAAGCAAAGGCTGCGACTGGGGGCCCTCGGTGGAGCTCTCTATATTGCCACGGAACGTGTGGGGGGCGCGTTAGAATGAAACGCGAAGACGCATGCGAACCATGCAAGTGCGGCCTTCGGTGGAGCTCCCGATGGGGCCACGAAACGTGTGAGGGTGTACTGGAATGAAAGGCGCACATCGCTGCCACTGGGGGCCTTCGGTGGGGCTCCTCATGGGGCCACGAAGCGTGTGAGCCGTGTGCCGATATGAGAAGCACGCTACCCTGCCGATGTGGCCTTGGGTGGAGCTCCCTCCCCGTGGGGCTACGAAGCGTGTGAGGGATGGGCCGAATTGAGAAGCGCGGACGCATGCGACCGCTGCTACTGAGGCCTTCAATAGAACTCCCCACGGGGCCATGAACCGTTCCAGGGGCGTGCCAAAGACAAAAGGCGCGGACACGTGCGAGCGCTGCCATTGCCGCCTTCGGTGGAGCTCCCTACGGGGCCACGAGACCTGTGCGAGGGGTGCGCCGAAAAATGAGAGGCGCAGACGCATTCCAACGCTGCCACTGGGGCATGCGGTGGAGCTCCGTATGGAACAGAGACACGTGAGATGGGTGTGCCGAAAAAGGCCCGGGCGCATGCGAACGCTGCCGAGGGGCCTTCGGTGGACCTCCCTAGCGGGCGCATGCGAACACTGATATTGGAGCATTCGGTGGAGCTCCCTACGAGGCCACGAAACCTGCGCGAAGAGTGCGCCGAAAAATGAAAGGCGCAGACGCATGCCAACGCTACCACTCGGGACGCCGGAGGAGCTCCGTATTGAACAGCGACACGTGAGATGGAACAGCCCATACGGCCTTCGGTGGAGCTCCTTATGGGGCCACGAAACGTGTGAGGGTGTGTCGGAATGAAGGCGCGGACGCAGGCGAGCACGGCCACTGGGGACGCCGGTGGAGCCCCCTATGGAGCCACGAAACGTGTGAGGGGTGTGCCGCGAAAAAATGAGAGGGTCGGACGCATAATTATGGACGCATGCGAGCGCTGCCACTTGGGACTTCGGTGGAGCTCCTTATGGTGCCACGAAGCGTGGGAGGGGTGCCACAACATGAACGGCGCGAACGCTTGCGAACGCTGCCACCGTGGCCTTCGGTGCAGCTCCCCATGGGTGCAAGAAGCGTGTGTGGGGTGTGCCGAAAACCGAGAAGCGCGGACGCAGTCGAACGCTGCCACTGGGGCCTTCGGTGGAGCTCCCTATGTGGCCACGAAGCCTTTGAGGGGTGTGCCAAAACATGAACGGCGCGGACGCATGCCAACGCAGCCACTGGGGCCGTCGAAGGAGCTCCCTATGGAACATGGAAGCGTGCAAGGTGTGTGCCGAAAACGAGAGGCGCGGACGCATGCGAGCGCTGCCACTGCGGCCTTCGGTGGAGCTCCCTATGGGGCCACGAAGCGTGTGAGATTTGTGCCGACATGTACAGGGCGCCTGGGGCTTTCGGTTGAGCTCCCGTTGGGGCCACGAAACGTGTGAGGAGCGTGCCAGAAGGAAAGGCGCGGACGCATGCGAACGCTGCAACTGGGGCCCTCGGTGTAGCTTCCTATGGGGCCACGATCCTTGGCAGGTGTGCCGAAGTACGGGTGACCGCATGCGAACCCTCGGACGCTTCACGTGATTTATCGGCATGTCCAGGAGCCGCTTCCGAAAGCCTGGGACAAAGAGCGTGCCCCGAGGCCCCAAGGAAGGGATCGAAAGGTCCGGGGGCCTGCGACTCGAAAGTATGGGTTCCGCTATGTACCCGGCGATCGACCAAATCGTCCTTTGCCTCGGGTAGTGTAGCATTAATACATTGGGACAGGCCCCCCGCAATTTGACCAGGTAGTGCGCTGCCTGAGTGGGCGAACCATCTGACATCATATAGGAAACCCGCTCGGCGTCCGCTGCTCAGGGAGCAATCGAACTGTCGCAGACCTGGATCTCTACTCGTGCTCCTGCACTCTCGCCCCACGCCGGCCGCATCCGCAGACCGAGTGATCCCGAACGCCTCCCAACCGAAACTTGGTGAGCACTCCCCGACGTCCATCTCAGCGCTGCAGATGCGAGTGGCGTCCGGCTCTGAGGTCCTGAGGCCGAGTGGCCGGCTCGCCACGTATCCCTTCTCACGGCGAGGGGCGGTCTGCTACTCGCTGGAGGCTCAAGCTCCCCCTCTTCGACTTCAGGCAGCGCTGGTACCTCCGAGAAGGTGCGCCACCGACCCTGCACGCGCATTTCCTTTGAAGCTGCGGGTCTCGTGCGCTCACTGCCCACAGGTCCGCGGACACTACCAGCACTGCGCCTGCGCAACGCCGGGATCACGGCGCCGGCGACCGGCAGGCGACCAGCAGGCTGAAGTCGGGCGTGTCCCCCTACAGGGGGATTTTCAACAAAAAATGCACCTAAAATAATTCAAAAATAATCCAAAAATGATATGGGGACTATTTTCTAATATTTGTTGACCTTTTTGGTGCATTTTGGCGATTTTTTGGGTGTCTGTTGTATTTTTCGTCGAAAATCCCCCTGTAGGGGGACAGGCCCGATGCAACAGCAGGCCACAACTCCCGCGGCCTCGGTGCGATCCCGGATGCGAGATGCCGCTCGGCCCGCGAAGGCCCGGGGGTGGTGCCGCGCACACTGCTCGGGGCAGCGGGGCGACCGATGGGGCCAGGTGGTTCCGGGCCCTCCTCGCCGCAGGCGGATCCAGCGCCGCCCGGCGGTTGAGCCGCGGCAGCCGTCCACGACAGCGCCCCTGGTGGCCTCGAGGAGGGGGCAGTGCAGCAGGACAGGGTGTCGGCCTGTGGCTGGTGGCGGGCCGTCGCCCTCGGTGCGTAGGCGGAGAGGGGGGGTGGAAGAAGAGGAGAGGGAGCAGAAGCGGGGGGAGGAGCGGCGCTGGCCGGCAAGAGAAGGGCAGGCAAAGGGGAAGAAAGAGAGCTCGGAAAAAGAAGACAGAGAAACACAAATGACGGCACTAGAGAAAATAGCAACCGGTGCCCTTCAAGGGGCCAGGCTGTCCCGACATCGGACAGCGAACAGGCGAACTTAAGACCGTAGTGGGCGGCACTATTCCTCCCCCCAAACAGAAAATCAAAGCCACACCTTCACTGCCCGAACGCAGCGACAAGAGGAGGAGGAGGAGGAGGAGGAGCAGGAGCAGGAGGAGTAGGAGGAGGAGGAGGAGGCGCAGGAGGCGGAGAGAGGAGGAGGAGGAGGAGGAGGAGGAGGAGGAGGAGGAGGAGGAGGAGGAGGAGGAGGAGGAGGAGGAGGAGGAGGAGGAGGAGGAGGAGGAGGAGGAGGAGGAGCCGCCCGCCCATATCTTGTTCCATCCCGCCGGTCCTCTGGGTGGCGGCGCTCAGTGCTGGCACCTGGCCGCTCCCATGCCTATGCACGCGGCTGCCCGCCCCTGTGGCTCTCGAGAGCGATGGGCTGCGAGCGCAGCACGAGGGCCTGCAGAGCATGCCGCAGGGGGAGCCGAGAGGCAGAGCATGCCGCAGGAGGAGCACGCAGCTCGACGTGAGAGGGCGACGGGAGCAACAT